GTAGAGGTCAGTAAGCTGGACTGAGTTGAGTGGGGGACGGAGGGGGGTGACTCTAGGACGCCAGAGTCACTGTCGAGCCCTCTTGAGGTGTCGTGGGCTAGTCGACGAAACACTGAGGACGGAAGGTGCCCACTTGAAGACCCTAGAGATGTCCCCTACTCGGCTCAATCCAGACGGTTGTCGTGCTGGTCCTGTAGTTGCAGCCGTCGCGTGTGCTGACGCGCCAAGTACACTGCAGCCGTTAACGCCGGACAGAAGGGGAGTCACACCACCATATGGAAAGAAGCGTAAATGGATGGAGAAGCATAGTTTACTGTAAAGCTACGTCTTAGTTTTGCTTATCTTGGCGAAAGCCGAGTACAAATCAGCATGAAGTTTTAACATCTACTCTCGTGTAATGGAAATCATAAACACTTTAGTCATAAGTTTACATACACCTTTCAGAATCTCCAAAATGTATTTTTTTATTTTTTAATATTTCTTAATAAGAATTATCATAAAAACATTGTTTCTATTCAGTACTGCACTGAAAAAGCTTTTTCACATAACATATATTTAATAGCCTAGTCCACAAGACAAAATACAAACACAAAATACAAGACAAATTACTTGATTTTAATATTGTGTGTCATTACCTGAACTTTTTTTTGTTTTTTTTTGTAATGGTTGTACATGAGGAAAAATCCTCCAGCTCCTACATTCTTTGCTTTTCCAGCATCTTCTGCATATTTGACTCCTTACTAGCATGTGACTATGATTGTGAGATCCATCTTTTCGCACTGGTGACAAGTGACGGACTCATACACAATTATTACAAACCCTGCAAATATTTAGTAATGTTCAAGAAGGAAGCAAGCATCCGTTAAGGATGGAACTGGATGTAAATTGGTGTAAATTGTTCTTATTTTCTTTAAAAAATCATTAATTAATTTAGTCCTGCCCTTCAGAGGGTAAAAAAGATATTAGCATGTAAAACAAAATAAGAAAAATTTAAACATCACCATCATCTTGCTCAAAAGTGTACCCCTGGCTTTTAATGGATCGTGTTGCATTCTTGAGCATTACCTTGCAGATTCTGAAAGATGTACAGTAGGTAAACGTATGACTGCAACTATACATTGCAATCCTTTTGTAAGGTTTAAAATATTAATTTAATAGCTCAGTGTTGAGACCTTTCACCGGGATTTGATTGACAGGCGATCTGACCAATCATAATGCAGGCACCCGCCATTTTTGTCCGACAAACAAACCAAATCAGTTAGTAGATTTAAGTCACTGGACTTGAACTTGAAAAATGGTGTGTATTGATTTCTTTTTGCCGTTCTGATTTTCATTCATGTTTAATTTGTGCTTAATTTTGAGATTGTCAGTTCATGTGCTGCTTGAACTGAGGCCTACACATTTAAGCACCACAAAACAGTATTTATTGCTTGAATTTCATAATAATTATAAAATTTGAAAGATGAGACTTTATTTCACACCAAAAATAGGCTGCTATATCTTGTAAATTGGTGCAATGTCAGTGTCCTCTTTGCTCCGCAATATATTTTTCACTGTGTGAGAACTTGATGTGTGGAGTGAGAGCGGAATGGCTTGTCGGATGTAGCAACAGTAACTAAGAGGGGCGGGTCTTTGTGAAAGGTCAATTTCAAATCATTTAAATCTTTGTGGACTCGGCCGGACTCGACTCAGACTCGGATGTTAAGGACTCGAAGTTCTCGAACTCAAGTCCGACTCGGCCCTCTTTGGACTCGGACTCGACAAAGGTGGACTCGGACTCAACACTACCGGTTGGATGTACTGCCAAATTCTCTGAAATGCCTTTGGAGACGGCTTATGGTAGAGAAATGAACATTCTATTCACGGGCAACAGCTCTGGTGGACATTCCTGCAGTCAGCATGCCAATTGCACGCTCCCTCAAAACTTGCGACATCTGTGGCATTGTGCTGTGTGATAAAACTGCACATTTTAGAGTGGCCTTTTATTGTGGCCAGCCTAAGGCACACCTGTGCAATAATCATGCTGTCTAATCAGCATCTTGATATGCCACACCTGTGAGGTGGATGGATTATCTCGGCAAAGGAGAAGTGCTCACTAACACAGATTTAGACAGATTTGTGAACAATATTTGAGAGAAATAGGCCTTTTGTGTACATAGAAAAAGTCTAAGATCTTTGAGTTCAGCTCATGAAAAATGAGGGCAAAAAACAAAAGTGTTGCGTTTATAATTTTGTTCAGTGTAATTGTGCAATGCCAGTCTAAAATCGGATTTTGATTAATATAAATAAGATCATTTGAGCTGGGTTGTCGTTGACATCCGCAGTCTGTTTCTTTGGAAAACAACAATTAACATTAACTACTAGGCATGTCCAGATATTTGACATCTAGAAATGCACCATGTTCCATGTTTTTATCATACAATTATGTAAAATAACTGCTGCAATGTTGCAAAACAAATACAAATGCATGTTTTTACAGAGCTTTATTTACACATTTTTATTTGAAGTACTTTGCACTTTAAAATAAATGATATAAATGAATACAGTTCTGTCATTAGTGAATAACTACATGGAAATAAATAACTCAATATTAACATTCTGCAATAACAACTGGCTGGATGTACATCACCACATTTTTATCGGTTATCGGGGAATAACAAACCGCTGGATGGTGCGATTGACCAATCAGAATCAAGTATTCCACAGAGCCGTGTAAAAACTACTATTAACTAACAAGAAACTCTGATTAATGAATACGTAAGTAATAGCACTCAGTTGAATGCGGTAGTTCACTATTAGCTAATCAGTACTTCCCAGAGGACTACTAAGAACTATACATAATAATTAATGACAGTAATGCACATGTAGAATTAATTCTGAAGTGAAGATCATGGTAACCCATTAGTAATGACTTAAGTGCTACTACATCCTTCTAAAAGGAACTATACTAATTATTTGGATCAGTATTCTAAAGTGAAGATCATGGTAAACCACTAGTAATGACTCAAGTGTTACCAAAATCTGTCAGAAGCCATTACCATCCAAAACTTTACAAAAACCTCAAAAGCTTATAATGACCAGCATACGGGAAGCCCTTCAATATTACTAAGGATGCACCTTATGAATGAGAGATAAGAGAACCCCTAAAAGAAACATAATAGTTTGTCCTAATGTTATGGGACACCACTGTGCACCATAGTTGTGTAACGAGTCAGTTAATAAAAAAAGCTAACAGCTACATGTAGAGGTGCCAGTGTTCAGAGATGATGCATGCTTAACTTTCTTCTTTTTTCTTTGATTGTTATGAAGACTCCAGGACTTACATCCATCTAAAAGTGCATTTGAATATAGTCATGAACTTAGATACCTTTTTGATTAAACCACAATGAACAATGCACACAGAAAAAGGAATATGATGTAAAATATTTTATTTTGTTTTTGTAAATGTTTCTAAATCTGATTCCACAAACTCCAAAACCCACACGTTGTATATTCCAAAAGAAAAAAGAAAAAAAAAGCTTCGTTTTAACATTGGATACTACTATACAGGACAAAGAAAAAGACAAATACTGTTAAATGTCCGAATATTGTACAAGGGGAAAAAATATCCAAGAAACAAATTTTATTACAGCCAGTCATTGAGAAATTATGTACAATTGATTTATCTGAAAATTGAAAAAATACATCATGCCATGTTTATTACAAGCTCAGGACTGTTGCAGCTGTGCACATGAAAAACTTCATTTCAAACCGGCCAGCAAAGTGCCACTACCAGCTTTCAATTATTTCATTAATTTGAGTGAGTTTGTGACATCATACCATGATTTTTACTTTCCCACAAATCAAAACCAAAAATAAATCTCATTTTATTCTTTAAATGTAAACAAGAAAGACGCACACTTTACATTTCATTAAATGTCTACGCATTGAGTTTTCTGAATGTGAAAGGCATTGAACTTCATCTCTAAAGCTCTAAACGTGACTCTATGCTGTGGAGCGTTAAGAACAGCTCGTGCTCGATATGGGGAACTATCTAATGCATTATGGGTGACTTCAAATGGAAATTCACAGCACACACTAATCTGATGAGCAGAGTTAAGATGTCACAATCACCTCGGCATGATTGGTGCTCGTTTTGACCGCGGAAATATATCAAAATGGCAACAGAAAAAGAAAAAAAAAGAAAAAGTAAGGAAACAGTTCTTCAAGTGGTCAGATCATTTTAGACAATATTGATTCTACATTCTAAATACAACAAAAATACTCTGATTCTTTCATTTTTACAGATTCTGTACAATTTTATACAATACATATACTCTCAAAATGATATCTTGACATCCTTCTTAAATACTTTGAATTTTTTTTTTCTTTTCTTTTTGTTGAAAACAAACAAAAGGTCAACCAGACAGCTATGATAAAGTTAAGGTAACATTTGGTCGAGTATTTAAAAATTGTAATTTATAGATGGATATTTACACATCGTACAAAGTAACGTTCTGTCCGATCGGCAGGCTTTCCCAGCAGCTCGACTCTCTGCGTTTCCACATCTTTAAAAAATAGCTTCAATCAACAATAAATACAAAAGCTGTCTCTTATTTTACAGAAATCAAAACAAAGGAAAAAATAAACTGACTCATGGAATCAAGTATTTAAACGGTATCTTTCTGTTTTAGTGCAAGTTAATAAGTCCCTTAGCTTTATCCCTAAGGAAGTCTTCTCAGTACATTCCTTGTTCAGTGGTGTCTACATTTCTGTAACTATGTGTGTATATATTTGTGTATATATATTTCTTTACCCAGAGGACCTGCCTCTTTATATCTAAATAAGGCTGTGGCCAGCACTTTCAAGCCTAAGCCCGCTCGCCATTGTCTCGTCTCTCATGCAGGAAAAAAATACATTTACATTGTCTTTGCAATTCAGAGTTACCAGTGTGCAGCCTGTTTATATTTAAGGTGAAGGTGCTCAATCATAAACTACATCATCTCATCCGCCACTGAACTTTCTGAAAACCCCTTACAGTTCTGCGGTCTAAATCGTGCCCTAACATTTTTGTTTATCAGAATTGACGTATTAAAATGTTTTCTGGGCCTAAACAAATAAAAAGGAATGCGTATGTTTCACTGACATCTTTCAATTCATCCATTTCCTGCAGTTAACTGCGCCACAGTGACAAGGGATTTTATGCTGATCGTCTTCCAGATCAAACTTGTAGTCGTAACACAACTGGAAAAGAAAAAAAAAAACATGTGACCAGAATGTTAGACATCAATCTAATTGATTTAAAGGCTGCATTTTATTGATAGTATGTGGGGAACGAATGCCTTTCAGACTGGTGGATAAACTAGGTTTACCTCTTCGCCTCTCTGGATTCTGCGGTTGGAAGTGATGATGATTTTGTGATCTCTCTCAAAGGTTACAACCTCAGCAATGCAGTTGGGCGCACAGGAATGGTTGATATACCTAGTGGATTAAAGGATTGTTAGATCAAATTTAAACTGGATTAAGCAGATAAGGGCCGAAACATGCTACGCAAGCTATAGACCAACGCTACTTTTGCGTCGTCGAAGGGTAACGCCCCCTTTTGGGGGAAAACAAACGGATTCCCCTGAGAACAGAACTCGCTCCAAATCTGCTAACTTTCTTGATAGCAAAAATGGCACAAACTTAAAGAAGCTACTGGATACGGGGTTACAGAGGTGTCCCTTTGAAATGGTCGAAACCTGGATTAATGACCTCACGCAGTGGCCAAAAATGGACAATTCAGACATCTAACGTTACCACCATCTCGTGGAATCACCAAGTAAATAACGTTAGCCTATTTTTTTTTGTGTCATTAACACACTCACAGTATGACAAACTAGACGATGAGGCCATGTCACTTGTATCATATTTAACTTGGTTTAAGCTATTGACATAGTTGTGTTGTCGACTAGCTATACTAACGTTAGTTAGAAAGACGAAGCTGCTAGCAGCTAACGTTATGTGATTAGCTCTCACTAGGCACGCTACCTTGGCTGTTAACTGAATTTACTGTTGAAATAGTGGCAGGCTAGGACTAAAGTGGACTTGGCTGGTTTCTGCTTGTGTCTAAATTGCTTTAGGCCTATATGACTTTTCGACGAGCACTGCTCTGGGCTACATGTAACAACACGAACGGCAGTAGATCAAGCCTTCTAGGCTAGATAGGATAGCGTAATGTCACAACATCCAATTTGATAGCCCCGTACATACATACATTGGTCCTATACATATTTTGCCGTACACTGTAAACCTTTTTACAACTTTCAAAGTCCTAGCACTTTCTAGACACAAGCAGAAACCAGCCAAGTCCACTTTAGTCCTAGCCTGCCACTATTTAAACAGTATAGTATAGCTAGTCGACAACAAAACTATGTCAATAGCTTAAATCAAGTTAAATATGATCCAAGTGACATGGCCTCGTCGTTTTTTTTCTCATGCTGTGAGTGTGTTGATGACAACAAAAAATAGGCTAACGTTAGCTGCTACTTACTTGGTGATTCCACGAGATAGTGGTAACGTTAGATGTCTGAATTGTCCATATTTGGCCACTGCGTGAGGTCATTAATCCAGTTTTCGACCAGTTCAAAGGGACACCTCTGTAACCCCGTATCCAGTAGCTTCTTTAAATACCGCTCAGGGTCCTCGGCCGGCAAAGAGAGTGTGTATGTTTGTGCCATTTAAGAAACTTTGCAGCTCTAGAGCGAGTTCTGTTGTCAGGGGAATCCGTTTGTTTTCCCCCAAAAAGGGGCGTTACCCTTCGATGACCCAAAAGTAGCGTTGGTCTATGCAAGCTTGATTTTGTGCGATGTTCCTTTCTGATGCGTGTTAGAAAGCAATTCATAGCATAACGCAAGTATGCACTGCATTCTTAGTGTTGTCGCAACACAATCTTCTACAATGGTTTTTCTCTTTCAGGTCAACTACTGTACTGAGCAGGTTAAAGTTGGTTGATCTTAAAAGCTACATGAAAACTCACACACACGTAAAGGAATGGCTAAGCATTTGTAACGGTGTTTGGGTACTTGTGTAGACTATGTTTCTGGCCTTAATAACTAAGCTAACAGTGTTGACATTTTTAGAAATTCAAGTTAATTTTCCACCTTGCAGGTCCTCCTGTAATAGTCGCATCAATTACATGCTCACTATCAATGCGAAACATGTAGACTCCACGATTCTGCAAAAAAAAGAAAGAAAAATAAATTTGACAAGCACTTGGACAGAACAAGTGCTTGTTCAGCATGACGTTTGATTATTTCAAATTCAATTTTATAATAATGCATACCTGTGCCTCGTACATCTTCTCTTTCCTGTTTGCCACCTCGTTGCGAATGATGGTACCAATGTATTCCATAACCATGGTGTATTTTTCAATGTCCCTAGCAGCATACAGCCCTAAACCCTGGATTAAAATAATGCAAAAACTTAAATTATTACAGGTTGGAGTCATTTTTAAACAATTAAGATAAAGTTTATGTTCAGAATGGAATACTAGCTTACTTCTTTCTATATACTGCATTGCACTAACTTTATACTGCTTAGTGTAATTGGAAAATATTAAGTGAAACAGTAGGCATTACATCTTTATCAAGTAATGCCTACTGTTTCACTTAATATTTTCCAAATTCATTTTAATTTGAAGCATTCTATGGCATTGTACCGTGACCTCTTCACGGAGCATGTGAGTGGCGGTCCAGTTATACTGGAAATACAAATGGTTTGTATTTTTTTTTAATTAATTTAGTGTAACTGGCACTAACACTAAATTAAGCCTGGCAGTCTAAAAGAAAAAAATGCCAAAAATACCCCCTCCCCCACAAAAAATACAAGGTATAGTTAAGTGCATTGTATTATGGGAAACAGCATCTCACAGAGTGTACTCTGTTAAAATATGCCACATTTTGTCAAATGCAAGGTTATCTGGGTAGTCTATGCCAGGGGTCGGCAACCTATGGCACGGGTTGTCAACAATGGCAAGCGGAGGGATAATCACGGCACATAATAGCTAAACAGGTGTTTGTATTTAATTGAAAAATTCCCTCGAACTTGCATACAGATCTATATTTTGAGGTAGTCATTCCTTATAGTCACATATAAATAATATTAAAGTGAGAGATTGTAACTTGCACTAGCGTGCAGATCCGAAAAACAATTTGCGTGACCGGTGGTGTCACTCCGTGTGCCACAGTACATGTGCATGCTGTAAACAGCATATATACAATGTATACTGCAGAAATATTATGAGTAGATATGTTAGCATGCCATTCCAAACATTTAGCCATAATTATGATCTTTCTACCTGTATACGTGAACGAGCTAAGTAGACGTTGGACTTCCACTCAGCCTTCATACGACGGTACTGAAAGGACTTGGAATGGACAAACTGCTTGCTGTATGGTGCGACACCCATCTCAGCCGGGTTCCCAGAGCTCGGCAGGGCCTTAGAGAAGCTGCTGCTGGTCAGGGTATGAGGCCTGCATGACAAACACAAGCATATGTGCTTTATGTAAAAACAAACAAGCAGGACTGGCTCATATTGGGTCATATTCAGAAACCTATAATTTTAATTTTTTTAATATCAGAAAGATGTTTATGCTGTTCGGTTCTGTTAACTCATTTTGCATTTTGCACCAAACGCTCTACTACAACTACTCTTGTCTTGTCTAGTCCTACAATGAATCTACACTGCTACAGCAAAAGAGATTAAGATTTGTCTGAACAGTCTGATTTCATTGTGATGAGAGAATAAGATTGTCATGAAATTATACAAAGACAAAAAATAGACAACATGTGTACCCAAACACACAAGCATGAACAATGTATGATTCACAAACAAATTACTAAATGGTTTTCAAGTCTTTTTGACTGATATTTTTTTTTTTAAATCTGACTCATAACCAGAGTTATCGGATTGGTTTGAATCACTGAATAAGTTGGAGTTGTTCTTGACTCCACTGCATAGCTTTACTGCACATAGTCTTTCTCTTATCATATTAAAATGGATGCACAATGATTGATAAATCGCCAATATTGACTAACAGTAAACTGAGCTCACGGGCTGAACCGGGACATGAATGGATGTTCAACTCACAGACCACAGGGAAAGCAGGAAATCCCAAACAAACATGGACGAAAAAAGGTTAATTTATACAGAATACCTTAACACAAACCTCTTGACATGTGTGCAAGCTTTAGGTTCAGAGCGGGCACATCCAGAGGGGTTGATGGCCAAAGGCAACTGCATCAGAGGGTTACGGCCATAACGGAACGTGTATTGCTCACATGCCTCCACTCCAGGAAGCTAAAAAAAAAAAAAAAAAGACTAATGTTACAACACCAGGAACATTTACAAAAAATAAGAGATACTATTATTGTCTCGGGTAATAAAAATAAATTTGTTTCAGAGCATGAAATTATTGCCTCAAACAAGACATGCAAACAAAGACATTTTTTACACAATGGTATTTCTTTATGCTTTGGAAATTGTGTTTTGTTGCAAAGATTTAGAGAGTCTGCCTGGCCAACGAAAGTTAAATAGTAGACATCCATTCACCAATTTCAGAGATGAATGTCCATGTGCTTTCAGAAATCGAATTTTCAGTGTTTCCGCTTTTCTGTTTTAAACCGATCAGCCTCTTTCCATACCCACAAACACATCTTAAACATTCCTATCTGTCAAATGCAACATCAGAGCATTCTTTACTTGATAAGTTCTTAAAAGCAAGATTTGGCTTTCACTTACAGATTCCACAACCCTGGTAACAGCAGATACAGTCAGTCCAAATAGGTCCTCTCCCTTCAGGTAAACAGGGAAGAGCTTCAGAGATCCTGCCTCGTTCCTTCTCTCCGCCACAGGCTCCAGAACCTTATCCCACACACCTGCACCACAAGATGAGGAAAGTATTATATAATTACCCCCCTGGTTGACAGCGCTATCAAAACTATTGCTTACCTTTTGGTGAGGATCCAGTAAGAACCAAGTCATCATAACCCTGCTCCACCACACGGATGATAAACTCAGGGTCACAGTCTTTCTCATCGATGGAACAAACGTAGTGGCAACGGCGGTTGCCATGACGCATGCTCCAGTAGATCCGGCTGGCCTTGTAGCCCACAGGGAAAATGGCAGACATCGAGTGGAAAGCCTGCATCTGGTGAGGAAGCAGCTGACCAACCGAGTGAAACACCAAGCTGCCCACACGGAAGGTGTGTTCTCGCTCACCCCTCTGGATGATGCTGGCGATCTGCCGTGCCTCATCCCTCTGCACGTAGACCCTACGGAACACGGCAAAGCAGCGAAGTTCATGCTCGGTTCCCGCCAGCCCACCTCCTATTGAGCCGGTTCCTCTGGGTCTGTGCAGGTGGCACAGCATAGTCTTATCTTTGAAGAATGTACACTGTGCTTTAAGGGCACAAGTAAAATGGTACGCATTAGTGCAACGCAAGCGGTGGCAGCCACTCGTTGCACCGATTTGCTGACAGTATGTACAGCGCACCGATAGGCCTCTCCTCAGGGCCATTTCTACGTTAATGAGAGCTCCAGCCTGGGTCTCATAGACTTCAGTAGACCACAGGGCACAGTTGAGGTGCACCCATAAATCCAGATCAAGGTTTAGTAGACGGGCCGGCCCGTCAGTGAGCCCGTCACCTTCTTCGTGGCAGAAGCAGCAGCGGCGCAAGTCTTTGGGCATGGGCTCAGGCCTAAGAGACGTCCCCAGTTTCTTCAGTAGTTCATCAACCTCTTCCTCCCCTGGCAGGTGGTAGTTACCCTTAGGCACCACAATTTGAACACTCCACTTTCTCCAACGTAAGGCTTTCCAGCGCTTCCCAAATGAACATCGAGGGTCATCCACACCGTTGTGTACCGCTCGTGGCCGAGGCTTAAGCTTCACTGTGACCTTTAGAGTATCAGACTTGCTATCTCCTCGGAGTGTCTCAGAAGTGATGGAGGGGAAGGATATTATCGGAGTTGGGGGTGGAGACTGCTTGGGCTGCAGCTGAGCCAAACAGCGCACGTCAAGATCGGATATGTTGTTACTGTATTGATGAAACACCTTAGTGGGATTATGCTTATCCTCAGAGTCAGATGGTGGAAGCACGTTTGGCTGTGAGAGCAGGAGAAATCAAAGACACTCTTAAACACTGAAGTAAAGGAATTTTGAGTTTGTCTTCTTTGGGCAATAAGACAACTGTTTTCTTCAAAGAAAATAGCATCAGCAGTTTTAGTTATATTTAAAATACTGATGAGACCGTTTAACGCACTTCATAGTAAATCTTGATTCAAGAGTTTTTTATAGTTTTTGTATAGTTTATTTATAGCCGTCATTAAAATAGTCACTCTATCAGTAGGTAACATAACTTGGCTTTCTAAATATAGCAGCAGATCCCACACTGTCAGCTAGTGACTCAAAATGTGTTGTGGTTTATACTACTTACTTTGCCATCTAACAATTTATTCTGCATGGAGGCTGAATAGAGAACAAAGCAGTTATGGCTGCAGAAGACAAGGCTCCCCTCAGATCCTCCATGGCCCTGTAGAAAGAACATCTGTAAGATCAGGCTCACCCTAGGCAGGAAACAAGGCATGCCATTTTCCATCTACTGCTGCACATTATCATTAGATCGAAGTGCCTCACTGGCAAGAGATCAAAGCTTGCATATGTTGCAAACCTATGCTGATGACATAGGAAATTAGATTTGCATACTATTAAAAGAAAAGGGAGGGGGGTAAGGGTGGGAGACATCAAAGGTGCCCCATGATTTAAATGACCTGAAATGGGCTTAACCGTTTTTGAACTTGGGCATCTTACACCCTTAAACAAAACGTGCCTCGGTACACATGTTCCCTTGAGTAATGTCAGTTAACACAGTGACTGCAGCGGGGCAGATTTTCACTTCCCATCAGGGGGCGGATTAGCATAATTGAAGCTCTATTCTGTGCCTCCTTGACGGGCTTTGAGGGGGTTGCACATTTTCAAGTGCTTTATGGCCCTCGGCTTCAGCCTTCTTCAGTGCTGTGTCAGAGGATGTAGTCTAGACCCACACCAAATGGTTGAACAAATAATTGCACACCCCTTAGGGGGTGATATGAGGTCAAATGACTCAAGGCATCCAGGAGACATTAAAATACATATCCTATAAATGAGTCATCTGGCAAGGGTAATTTGGTAGTTTCAATCAAATTTGTGTTGAATACCTGTTTATTTATTGGCAGGTCTTTGGGGGACTTTCGAACACCATTTCCAAGAATCACCACCCTGCAATGGGAGCACCACTGTGGTTTAGGCCCTGGACTGCTTCCACCCATCTGATAGTCTGGTCTGACCACAACTGAACCTGTAATATAAGAAACATATCAATCAAACCTACACATCATGCAGTTGCCAGAGAACTTCTGACAACTTACATGACTAAGCTTGTATGTTTTGACAATTTTTGTTGTCCTTTTAAGTGAGTTGCATGTACTGTTTTACGAATAGGTTGAAATAAATTCAACTTGCAATGAGGTAAACAAAGATGTCTAGTTGTTAACCATTACTGTCTCTTAAGACGTTTAAAAGACCTTTGTCATTCTTACATAGCTTTTTAAAAAACTTGATCTAAACATTGGAAAAAAGTGTTATATGTGTGTGAAGTACATTTAATATTTTTACAGCTTAAATTTTTATCTAAGAACAAACATGATGTTTTAAGTACATCTGAAAGAAAAAATACATGTAGTAAAAAGTTTTGTTAGTGATGCATGTAGTCATGGAATCTCTAAGACCCCAAACAGAACATAAGGATTAAGCAAATTAATTGCAATGAATTACATTTATAGTTCACTTCTGTCATCAAAACCTCATAATTGGGGGTCTGTCACTAAACCATTTGAGAGAAACATTAAGTTTCTGCGAAATGCAGCCATGAGATTTTGACAAGCAAAATCAACTGCATTTGTTTGTTGATGTGGGTGAAATGAGTGCTTGTCTTGTTTCACATATACTTACCCTCAATGAATGTTTGGTGTGATAGTGGGGCACCTGGTGGTCTGAGGAGCCTCATACCAGGCTGTTGGTGGAACAGAGTAGTTTGAGGGGGGACCCTAAGTTCACTAAACATGTCTATTGAGCTGCGGTGTTCTTGGCCTGGAGAGCGAATCACCTCATAGTTCCTGGGTATGGACACACAAAGCATGTTCGCCAGTGCTGACACCACTCCTGGTATATTCTGGGGAACAAACGGACACATGGTCAGAGGGGAGATGGAATCATTCTTGCTTTAAACAAGTCTTTACTGATACAGAATGGATAATATAACTGCAGGCACTCACATGTGTTGCCACTGGGTTCAGAGTAACAGATACAGACACCAGGTCAGTTCTTAAGCATGTAGAGTGCTGTCCAAATTGCGAAGCAAAGAAATTGCTTGGTGGCTCTGTCTTGACTTCCCACTGCCTGGCTTCAGAACCTATAGGGAAAACAGCAAGGTTTTGTTAGTTGACAGTATCCAGCTGTGCTCCAAAACCTTATGCTGCCCTGTTGCATACTACTACCTATATAGGCAGCAACCTTTTATGGCAGGCTACACAAATAGTGATGCTCATGTAAAGTACACAGAAGACTTGACTCAAAACTGATTTTAATATAATTTTTTAACAGCATGTTGAAATGATGAGACAGCATATGGCTGAGACGGGAACACTGGTATTACAAGGAATTGGAGAAAATGAAATATATGTTTCCAAGATGGCTACAAACTGAACTGACTTGAAAGGGACTTTGGCAAAACTCTAATAAGCACAAAAACAAATAGTACACACCAGTATTAAACCATGGTCTATAGAGAACGCAATAGGAAAAAAATCTTTGAAGTCCACTTTTATGCTCTATTTCCAACAGTTAAAATGACTGATAAATGCATACTCCGCTCCACAAGATATGTTTGTTTCTACCATCTGGATGCTCAAAATTGATCAGGTGAATGCACGTTTTAAACAGCTTATTGTACACGTAAGTTAATCGTCGTTCTAAACTAATGCGCCGCTGCATTGTACACACATACAGCTCGCACATCACGTGCAGATTGCGCCTACAGAAACATTAGCAGAAATCTATTGGCAACACTGCTCTGTGATTTATCAATAAAATAGCTTAGAAACTGAAGTTACAGCATATATTTCTTTCGAAACTAAAACCCACAGCTGCACTATTAGTAGAGAGATGCTGCCAGGTAGAATGAATTCACATGCAATGGCTCTTTCACTAATGCGTTCATATAAATTTAATCTTTACTGTGCTACTTTATCTGAATCTGATTTAGAACGAGCAGAAATCTGTGAGAAATATAACGACCCAAAGACAAAAGAACTGATAAAAGTAAGCTGTTACGTATGAGCAGTAGCCTTGAGGGCAGCGCTGTGTCATATGCCATAGCTATGCACAAGGCAACCTGTGTTCGAGTCTCAGCTCGAGGTACAGGCTTATTTGTTCATTAATGCATAGCTGCCAACTTTTGAGTTTAGCTTGGCGTGAGACTTTTCCGACGGGGAGGGGGAGTGGATGACATTCTCCAACTGGGGGGGGGGGGGGGTGGGTGCTTGCACACGAAGGTCTCTCGCTCGCTTTCCCTCTCTGCCGTGCTAGATTCTAGATTCCGGGAGATTTTAACTAATTTGCGGCATAACTAGTCGATCACGAGTGGCTGAACAGGTAGATATATAGATAAACTCATCTTCCAGGCATTTGACCGACCAGGTTGACACTTCAGCGTGAGAAATCGGGGGTGTGGCGTGTGAACGTGTGAAACCAATCAAATGCGTGTCTCACGGCCAATGCGTGAGAGTTGGCAGCTCTGTTAATGATGTCATCAGCGGATTTAATCGTATAAATGTCAACTTAAATATTTTTTCAATCCCTAGTATTTAATTAATTATATTTAGCAATTTTATACATGCAGTTGTGCTGGTGTACTAAACATCGGCATGGCTATGATTCAGCCTTAGGACTCGAGTCAGGTTTTCCAGCAGTGATGATATTGAGTACAACAGCATGACATATGAGTGTTGTATAGCTTATCCAATGAGATTTGTGTAATGCATTGTAGGATTTCCTTTTCAGTGAAGCATACATCCAATATTGCTTTATAATTCGACCAAAATTAGGATGCAGTATTAGTTATGTCTGCCTTCTGTGGCGGAATAGATGCCTCCCTATTATATAAGTGGCACCTTGCCATAGGTCTTCACTCAGCCTGCCACATCTCTAAAACAGCTTTCGCATCGACTGTGTGCCCATGATGTCTTAAAATGTTTTCTCAGCTGGTGGCTTACTAGTTTTATTTGTCTCTCTCATTAGTATTTTTTTTTTTTTATTACCGTTACCATCCAGTATAGGAATGACTGGAGAGACAGCAGGGGATGGTGGCTCCTCTTTAACTCTAGACAGATCTGGATAACGGCTGATCTCCATGCCAACCACACTCTCAGGAGAAGATGATGGGACAAAACTGTCTGGAGTGTCCCTGTCCACACAATGCTCCTGACCCCTATTAAAGACACACAGAACCATTATATACACATTGACATAAAACCAAGACTTTATGGTCAACAATGGGAAGTCTCAGAGTCAGACAGCTGACCTATGGATCTGATGCATATTGCACACAAAAATGTGTCAAGAGCAGTCTGAAAAGTCAATAACTTTACAATGAAAGCTTTTGAAGAACTAGTTCTAAATAAAATAAAAAAACCCACAAAACACATTTGTAGTTAAACTAGATAATGTAAGGCTGGAAAACCTGGAAGAGAGGGCTATTCTCTGAGAAAACAAAGGAAATTAACATTTGAACTCTCTTGCTATATTACCATCCCCATTCTAGACACGATCACACTTGAGTTGATCACCTCCCAATTTACACATCATTCCCTTCACCCATCCCTACCTGAATTCACCCAAGAATTTATATGGTTTAAAGTGAATAATTATCATACAGTATTACACATGTTTGGTATCATTCGAAATGTCTCAGTGCGACTGGTACAAAGGTCTCATTCCCAAAGAGTAAAACAAAAGGTAATACAATTTTTAAGAGTTTAGAGATAACTTGCACACAAAGGAGGGTGGGTCTTCCAGGCAAATGGTCTCCTGGTCTCAGAAGGTGTAAACTCAATTAAAATCCCCATTGTTAGCAAATGTTTTAATGATGCACAGATATCATTAAAACCTTTTCATTTATGGAGTTAGATGAAATAACGAGTTAATACATGAGTACATGCATTTCATTTTAGCAAATTACTTTGCCACGAGGAAAGACAGTAACACGCAGAGACCTTCACCCGGTGATCGAATCCCGCCATTGGATTGATTGAGTCGGGCTTACAATATCTTTGGCACAAATATTTATTTTGCTTGGCCCTCAGTGTCAGACATTTAAGATGCACCCGCTTTATAATGAAATTGTTTGCTGGTTATTGAACACATCATTCCTCGTCTAAGTAGGGCAGAATAAACTATGTTATGGGCTGGGATTTTTGTTAATGGCCAAAAGATTGGCTACATGAGACTAAAAAAATTGTGTAAAAGCCCTGAAAACCTACCGAAGTTCTTCCTGGTTGTTGTGGGGTGGAGTGGGAAGCGAAGCAGGAACATCAACAGTCTTTGGGCCCTGAGTGATGGTGTGTCCCAGCAGGTCATCTTCAGCTTTGAATGGAGCATTGAGCTGCTTCTGACCCAAACTTTTAGAAACTAAAGAGTAATCACAAACAAATAATATTAACCAAAGAGTATTTTTTGGTTGTATTAGTAATATTTAATTACTTCAATATATATGGGGGGGGGGGGGGGGGGGGGGGGTTGTATAATATGGGGTATATATATGGGGTATATATGGGGTATAATATTAATAATATATATAATAATATATATGGGGTAGCCTATTCCGCTCAAGTGCGCGCATAAAAATGGCCGCAAAGCACCGTAATGATTATGAATGTGTCTGAAAAAATAGAAAGGATGCATTTTAATTTTTTATTAATAAACTACTGTTTTCTGAGTCAATGTCGGCTGCAAAGATGAATTTGACGATGCTGACCCGCCATCTGCGCAGTATTGTGGACGTGCCTTTAGAGAGAAATGCAACTTTACATAATCAGAGAATATTTGTTTCGATTTAGTTGGTTCATTTAAAAGTAGACATTTCAAGCTTACTATAGATATATTTCTCATGTCTGTGAGGCAAGTAGCATATACGCTGAGTTTCGGTTTATTTTTGTGACGCGCTCCAGTTCACAGAGACAGCAGAAAGTTTATCCTTTGTTTTTATTTATTTTGTATGACCAAAACTGACAGAGTGTTTCCACTGTTACCAGGAAAAAAATACAAGTGATCGCGTCGGTGCCTCCATGTCATGCAGTAAGCATCGCTAATACTTTAGCTTTCAGACTCCGCACGAACACTTGGATATTGCCCAATAATAGCACACATTTATCTAGATTGATGTTAGAGCGAGGAGCCAAGTTACTTGCATGTTTCAAATGATAAGCCATATTTGAGGTTGATGGATGAAAGGCAAACGTTTGGATTTCTTGCTCTACATACCGTAATTATAAGAACCCGCTGTTAACGATCTGTCCCTCATGGACTGCGTGACTTCCACTTCCTGTGGAGCAACTAACCGACTAATAAAAGTTTGGTCGACTCTTCTCGTCGACTATTAGGGGGCAGCCCAACTAAATATAAATCTTATCTCTGAATGCTGTACGTTCAACTTACTAAACTTTGTATCTAAATGATTTATACTCTCATGCTTACCCATAATTTCTGCCTTCTTGGCCAGTTCCTCTGCAGTGGCAAAGCCGTTCAACAGCTTCTGCCTGGCAACAGGTGGCGGTGTGGGGGGCAGTGAGGCAGGAGGTGTTGGAGGATTGCTAAGATTGTTTTGCTACAAGCACAAACAAACAAAACAAACAAAACATATTTTTTTTAATTATTTTTTACATAACAATAGTATAGCAAAGGAAGCAGAGGAAAGCCAAACCTTATAGATAAGTTGCGAGTAGTAATCAGAAACTCCATCCAATGATGCACTTCCAAAAGATCCAGAGAGCCTGTTCTCACCGTTCAATTGCCCACTGCCATACAGGGGGAAATGTGCAAAGTTTACCCTGATCAAAGGCTCCATCAGGGGCAGCATAGAAAGCTGCTGTAAGGATGAGAGTGGAGGAAACATGAGTTGAGTGAAACAGTACAATACATGCACATGATGTCCACAACCAACTTACTCGCTGATTTCAGTCATAAGCCTCACGAAAGTTTTAAATGGGTTCTACAGCAAATACCACAAGTGATGCCAGCACTGTAGATAAGCTACAATTAAATTACTTCTAGAGATGACTATAATAATAGGTAAAGTCTACACATCAGGTGTATACATCTCAATTATAATTGTAGTCTGTACCCTTCACTATAGATTATAGGTCAACAAAAGTGCAGTACATAACGTTAATTATCATAATGATGTACTGTACATTTTTAGGTATATAGTAGTGGGTGTTTACCTGCTTGAGCTGAGTCATCAGCGTGTCTGTGTTGGTGTACACTGCTTGTCTCTCCTCGTCATCCTTCTTCCTCTTTTTCCAGCGTGATGGCGGTTTCTCAGCCCCATTCTTTGGTGTCCGCTTGTTGCGTTGTTTTCTCTTGCTTTGCTCTGGTACTGAAGGCTCTAGATCTGGATTCCCTGTCTGGCTGTTCATGCCACTCTATAGACAATAAACAACTCTTTCAGCTCCAAGAACAAAAGAGAGAACAGGACTAGCTAATAAACAAACATCTACCTTCAACAATGTGACAATTCTGTATTTTGCAAATGCTACTTTTTTTGACATCTGACATTATATTCAAAAATAGCATTCTTAAAAATTAAGAGCTGAATGTTAAATTCAAAGCTGGACAGATTATTCTTTAGATCTTTAACATATTTAAACATCCCATCATTTCATGCCATTTTATCTATCTACACTCATGATTTTTTACATGTTCAAAATTATGATTCGTCACTCTGGTTGTGTAGGGAGGTAGCCATAGAGCTCTTACCAAAGAATCTGTGCTGTCCAGTCTTAAATAGCCTTTGCTGTCAGTCAGGCCCTCTTCCTCTGATTGAATACTGTCATTGGACATCTGATGTATGAGAGGAGCTGAGGAAGGAGGAGGGGTGCTCTTGTTCTTCAGAAGATGTTTGAGCAACTCATTCCCAGTGTCCCCTTTAGTGCTCTGAACTGGACTCTTGCATGCTGGGCTGGGGGAGATAATCTCATTGCCCTCTTCTGTCTTTACTATACCGGTTCCTCCTGCACTATGGCCAAACATTGCTTCTTCTTCAGCCTTCTGGCACACACTGGCTTCTAACTTTTCCAGCTTGATATCACGGAGAAGGCCTTGCTCTGCCTCCGAACCCACGCTGGACTGTCGCCCTAGTGGGGTACCTCCAGAAAGTGGGTCTTGGTCTAAAGCGTCTTGGTCTCCCATGATGGCAACACTGCGTGTTGGTGTGGATGAGGTGTCTGATACACATGGTGTAAGTGGGGTAGTGATGTCAGAGTGAGGTGTGGAAGGAGTTTTGACCGAATCTGCATCATCATCCCGTTTCTTTTTTCGACTCCTTTTCTTTTTGCCCTTCTCCTCAGGGATAATGTTTGAGTAGAGCTGGATAAGGGACTGACCTGCCCCAGGGAAATTAGGAGGTAAAGGAGTTGTGGAATCCATACCAAATGAGGAAGTTTCACCTCCACCGTGGGGTGGCATTCCAAGCCCTCCAAACCCAGGTGGACGTGGCTGACCTGGGGTGAAACCATGCATCATGGGGTTCTTAGGCTGAAAATTAGAACTTATATCTGGGCGAAAGGAACCATTCCCGGGCATAGGCCTGCGCTCGCCACCTTGCAAAAAGGCTGGACCTGGATTTACAAAGTCTAATGGCATATTTCCTTGCTGAGGAAACACTGGGCCAATTTGCTGTGGTTGTTGTTGAGTCCTGGGTGTCTGCATGAATTCCTGTGACAGGTCTGAATTATAGAAGGGCATCTGGGTAAGACCATCCCCGCTGTTGTTGGGGCCAAGCCCCAAGCCCTGCTGCTCCAGCTCTAGTCTCTGCAATGCCCTTTGTCTCTCCACTTCCTGCATGAGCTGCACCCGCTGTTTCTCCTGCTGCTCTCGAAGCCGCTCTCGACGCTCCCGCTCCTGGAAGCCTTCGCTAAATGGATTATTATCATCAAACTTCACATGAGGGGCACTACTACTACTGGCTCCTCCGCCATTACCTCCAGCTACAGTGCCAGGCTGCCCAGGTTTACCTCCTGGAACCATAGGGGAAGGTGGCTGTGTCTGGAGAGGCTGGGAGGGGTTAGGTAGTGGCATCTGAGGGGGCAGGTGAGGTGGCATCCTGGGTCCAGTCATTGGTCCAGTAGTACCAGGATGCCAACGTGGCACGTTGGGCATGCGAGTAGGCTTACCAAAGTGGGGTTGTTGCACGGGCAGCATAGGACCCATCATAGGCTGGCCCATAGGGGGTCCACCAGGCATCACTGGAGGGGGCTGTCCTTGCATTCCTGGCATGGCCTTTATTGGACCCATCACAGCAGGTTGGAGGCGCTGTTGCTGTTGTTGCTGCTTAACACGGTATTCCTCGATGAGCTCAGCATGTTCTTTCTGTTGCTTCCGTATCTAAAGAAACAATAGAGGGAAGGATATGTGAACACGAGATTTAATCCTGTTTATATAAATTTAAAAAAAGTTTACTGTATAACAGTAGGTTAGTGTTAATGTCAGAGAATAAATCAGGAACTGAGTACCGCTGAGGCCCTAGATACACTGACGTGCGGAAAGGTTACAACAGTCAAAAAATAATTAGAGGGCAAACCATCTTAAACAGGTCTCATAGGTCTCTAGAACGAGGTTCTTTAAGATGGGGTTCATGACCCCTAGGGGATGGAAGATTGTTCTCAGAATATTGATGTTATTTACACAGGCTTTTTTAAAATTCAGATTCTCATTTTTTAAAACTGCTTTAGTTCAACTGTTTATCCTTTGTTTTATGTTTTAGAGATTCACTTAATTAAGATGATTTTTAAAAGTGTAATATGTAGAACACCGTCTTATTGACAGCGGTTATTTATTCCAATAATTACTCCCTATTACAGACAATACTTTTTGACCAAAAGTTGTCCGCCCTCGCAGTCCTCTTTACTGATAGACCTAGTACAAAGCCACAAACAAAAATTTATATTAAAATTAGAAGCTATAGTAAAGGAATCCTTTACTAAGATGTTATTCATTTTTTAAGTGCAAAACATTAATCCATGTTCTTTTGTTTTCCAACTAATTTATTAATAGATTGCCAATTTTTTTTCCCCCATCCCCATTTGACCCCTCGACAATATCCATAATAAAACTAGCTTTGGCCTTACATTAAGTCTGTATTACTTTATTCATCATAGAAGTAAATGTATAGCGATCAGTAATAAGCCTATAATTCAACCATTTTTTTAAGGAGCTGATCTCTATCCTCCAACAATTTCCTACATCCATTGTTCACCCGGGGCAAAATATTCCCTTTTCTGTTGGTTTGCCAACCTCTTCTAGTAAACAGCTTTAACACTTCTTTAATTTTTCCCAAAATGTAATCACATACAACCTCTCTCTATGTCCCCACTTGAAATTACTTTACTCCAGTCAGTCTCTTTTAGAGCTAATTTATCATTTTGCTGTTGATGTTTAGGGACTATATCATGATAAACAGTAGGTGTAAACAAATTTAAAAAGCTCTGGCCTGTCAGTGGGAAAGTCATTAGCTGCTAGCGATAGTTGAGTGGCTACTACCTAATTAAAGAGTTGTTGAATGACTGTAGTGAACAGCACATTCCAGGGCACAGTTTTATGGCAGGTTCCCTCTCTGACTGCAACAGCAGTTTACTACATTTCATTGCATCTTGGTGGACTAGCACAATAAAATGTCCAACGCTATCAAAAAAGGATGCTTGGACAACAGACACCTCTTAAAAGGGAAAACGACAACATTTTTCTGGGATTTTGTTGATAACGATAATTAGACGATATTTTGCTGAGTGTGTTATTGTGCTGGTACCTTGGCAGGTTTAGGACTGTCGTGGAAAACTGACTCCCAAAGCTTTTGATATTCTTCATAATCTGTGTGGTGGTTCATTCACAGCATTGACAAAAATTAACTATTGGTTTTAATTGACTTTAATATTTATGGGTATTTTTACCTTTAAAAGAGTTAAAATGCTTAAATGTAATCTTTTGTGTCAAATTTTTACGTTATCAATAAATTCAATTAAAATAATAAGATACTATAAGGCAGTTACCAATCAAATAATTCTGTCTTTGCAATGCAGAGATGGGCAAAGAAGCTGCATCTGAAGTGGTATTTAGATGTATTTGCAAAGACTGTGTAATACAGTTCAGAGGGCACATGAATGCATTACAATTGCATAATGTTTTGAGATGACTGTTTTAAAAAATAAAAATGTTAAATACTGAAATGATTTTGAAAAATGAAACGATACCTAAATACAAAACTAAAACCGCCAGCAGTAAGTCGTTGAGTCATTCATTCAAATGATTAGTTAAAATGGCTGATTCATTCAGGAGCAAAGTAATTAGGCTTGTCCGACTCGAGACAGCGCCGACGCCACGTGACTGCGACTTATGCCATCAAAGTACCGCAGCCGGCTCATTTATTCTGCACAGCTTCTCCAGAGCAGCTGTACGAGCTCTGATGACGACACAACTGGTCCACGATTGGCCGAATCCACCGCATGGCAACGATCACGTGTGTTTTGTGTTTATTCTCACACCTTCAGTTCCACTGATGCTCACAAATCTGTTTTTTTTTATAACAGATTTCATGTAGTCGGGATGTTATATTGTGTCATGTATATCAAAATAAAACTGATAAAAAAACGTAGATCTCACTTCATTGATAGTATAGGCTAGTGTTGCACGATATACTGGTACTGGAAAGGTATCGTGATACCCTGCTATTAAAAATGGTACGATATGAAATTTGCTCGTGCTGCCGACGGCTTTCAGACAGCATGCAATCGCGACTTCAGTTCTCTTTGTAAACTACAACAAATCCATTTCATAATTATTCAGAGAAATAGGATCAACAACTATTTGTAGTGCAACATCTTACACAAATTCAGCTGTTTGACAAATGATTTGCATTCACATACAAATGAATGCATGAATGACATTTCAAACTTGTGTTCTGAACATTGCCAAAGTATTCTGGTGGTGGTCTGGAAAGTGACTAATGCACTGGTAAAACTTGAAAGATACTGTTTTACTATGTGCTTTAGATTAGGCAAATGAGTTCCACAAGGGGAAAGAAGGGTGGGCCACACTGTGTGTGCCACCTCTGATGCCAGCACCCAATCATAGGACTGGAATTGGCCAAATTGCAATCTCCTCCTCACCAGAAAGGGATAAATGTACCCTTTAAACAGACAATCCTTGTTCTGATTCTCGGGCCATCAAGTAAGACATTGACAGATACAAAGTTCTGAATCTCCTGCCTGAGTGGTGGGAGGCAATAGCAGATACAATGTTCTGAGTCTCCAGTATGTCAAGAGAGACCTTAACAGATACAACCAAGTTCTGTGTCTCTGGCCTGTGAAGGAAGAAACAGCTACAGATTCCATGCTATAAGTTTACAGCTTGTGAGACAACAAGAGACACAACCATATTCTGAGGCTGTGGGGAAAGAGACACACAACATCCAGAATCTTCATCCAGCGAGACGATAACAAATACAGCATGTCTCGAGTCTCCATGCCTGAGAGACAAAAGCGGATTGACAAACCTTCACTGCACGGTACTTTTGTTCCAGATGGTTAGGGAACTTCTGCAAAAATACTTCAGGCCCACATCTGTGTGTTCCAGATTTTAGAACCCTTTTACTGCTCCAGGAGATCCACATCCCATTATTCAAGGTTGTTAAAATGGATTCCGGCTTCTTTCCCCACTACATTGTTACCCAGTGCAACCGGTGGAAGAAGTCACCACCACCAGACTGCATGGAATATAAATATTACTAACCAAATCTCTTTCCAGAGACACTGGAACTGTTGTATATTATCAGTAAATGGATTTCTAAATGACATTACATGTTATATAGCTGATGCCAGTTAATAGCAAATAATCTTTAATTTATTTGTTTGGTGCATAATAAGGCTATTAACCTTATTAGTTTCAGAGAAACAACAGTTTATATGTCCATAAGATAATGTAACTCTGCCACAGTAACATTCAATTTAAATCACATTTTATACATCTTATGCACTTTATTCTTTTATTGTTCATGGTATTCATTTAGTAGTTGTGTTAGTTACTCATTTATCTTTTTGTTAATACAATCTGTTTTACTAGACTTTTGCATTCCTTGTGATAATAATACAGTAAAATCCTCTACAAGTTATCCAATATCTAACAAATCCTTTAGATTGATTAGCTGACAAACTCCCTCTAATTTACATAATTGTTATTTGTTCAACAATATTTGATTGTTCTTTACTGTCAAGATGAAACTCATTAGCAGTTGCCCCACAATTAAAGGAGGAAAAAGTCATAGGACACTTTTTCACTCACCTTAGGTGACGTGTGGCTAAAACGCAAAACATATTTTGGAACCACTACGTCTGAGAACCTCTACAACACTGTGCCTCATCTTTTCTGCTTAATGCGTATTGAAAATCTACAATAAGGAAACTTCCTGATTTTATTAAGGCATGGTCTGTACAATAACAGTTTGTCTTTTATCCACTTTGAGTGGTATGTGGGTGAATTGCCATGTGTTAACCACGTGTGAACTGCCCAATATCATTTTTAACTCAATTGACAAATGGATAAAGAGTAGCATTTGGCAAAATGACAAAGTAAGCAATTGGCAAAAAAAAAAAAAAAAAAAAAAAAAAAATAATAATAATAATTAAGATTTACCATTTGCTAAAATATGACTTAAGATGGCTTAAACTATTTGGGTGGATGATTTTATAGTTATCCTCCTTTAAATAACTATATTACCTGTTCTAGTTGCTTTTGAACCACACTTTGCTGTTCAGTCACATGTTTCAGCTGTTCTGCATCCTCCTCTGGGAACTCCCGTCCAGATTTTTTTGCAGTGCGCTGTTTTGCAGAGAGAGCCTTTTTAGATTTCCTATGGGCCCCAATCTGGTCCTCTAAAAACTTCTGCTGCATTTGAAGAAGCTGTTGAGTTTCCTGAAGCCACTCCTCGTATTGTTTTCTCTGAGAATCATCTGAAGAATAAAAATGCATTTAGGATTTATGGGATGTCCAGCCTCAATTGATTTACTTTTACAGTGATTACAATGATAAAATAACACTCACTAGTCAGCTCCTTGGTAACTATTGACAAGAGAGAGAGACAAAAACAACTTACTGACAAAGCCTGGTCCAAAGTTAGGGGGATTGGGTCTCGCAATCTGTGGTGGCAATTTTCCATCCTAAAAGGAAATCATTGTATATGCCATTAGAACAGGTTTAATGCTGGTAAGAAGAGAAAATAAGACTAAAACCTGTGGACATACCAAAAAATGTTGTGAAAAACCAGCTGTATCTGGGGCATGTGATCCTGGAATCTGTTGCACTCTGCCACAAAGGAAAGCATGGAGAGTAATCAACACAAGGAAATGTATCACTGACCATTAAAAATAAACCACTGAAAACTGCATGTGGTCATTTTTAGTTAAGTAAATAATTAGGCCAATCAAGTTAATAAAAAGCTTTTTGTAATACTGCAGTAATTGTTCAGAGGAGGCAATTTACATAGTAAAGTGTTTACCTGTTCATAACTATGGGTGTCATACCCATACTGTTCTGTACCATCACTTTGTTGATCCCCTTTAGAGCTACCATCTTTGCCTTCATGATTGGATCAGTAATTGCATCAAAGTCTACAAAGTAATATAAATCACTACATAAATTACAGGATTGTGATTTGTATATCACAATTATATTCACATTTCAAGTATTCAAGTTACTGGAGTAAAAAAAAAAAAAAAATACATATAAGCCTACATTCTAAATATTTAACATTCAAGATAAGCTTATATTCAACAACTGTACAATAACTAGACATTTAGGACTGCAAGATAAGAGCTGCTGACAGTATAGAATCAAGTCAAGATTAAACCACATTAATGTACAGGTACAACAGCCTCAATTAGTCTATCAATTAGTCTAAGTGGAGCTTAGGCTTACCAATGTTAGGTAAAAAAGGGTCATTTGACCGTTGCCGAATCATGGCCTGCATCTGCCTTTGCTGTTGTTGTTCCTGCCTCTCTTGATCCAGCAGATCTTGAAGAAGAAGGGGCTGCTCATCTAACAGAAGAGGTCTGTTCTGTTGACTTTGTTGCACTTGAGACCCCTGTTGCCCTGTAGCCCCTGGATTGAACATGCCCTGTTGAGTTTGTAGGTTTAAGGAATGGGGAACAGGCTGCTGACCACTAACTATAGGCAGGTTCAGATCCACTTGCTGTCCTTGTGATGCTCCAAACCCTTGAATTGGTACCTGCTGGTTCCCAGACTGCATCAAATTTGGGTTACCTAATATTGGCCCTTGGCTTAGAGGTGGATCTACTCTGTGCCCCATTGTTACTCCAGGGTTTATCCCGTGATCTTCGGGTTGTCCTCGCAGCATCACCATACTCATGTTGGAGCCAAGATTCGTTTGGGCATCAGGGTCACCCGAGATGGGAGAAATTATGGATTCACTCCTAGTTTCACCTAGCTTTTCCTTGATCAACAGGCTTGACAACACTGGAGAAGATCCAGGATGTACATGTGCACTAGACTCCTCAAAAAGAACGGAGACATCGTCTTGACCACTTTTACTACTCATGGGCTGATGGTCATCCACTGAGGTTCCAAAACCTTGGCTCTCAGTTTTGATAGTTCTTTCAGACTGAGAGTCCAGAAACTCTTTTGACAGACTTTTTTCTAGTTTGACATTACTAGGACCTTGTATGGCCTCTGATTTAGGTTGAGCTGAGGATATACCTTCACATCTGGAATTTCTTTTTTCAGACAAGGCCTTCTGAAGATCAGAGGTATCCCCATGGTCATCTTCTATGTGATCACTCAAATCAAGTTCTTCATTAAACATGTCTTTTTTGTCCCCAAGGTTCTCAGGATCTGCATAAGCAATAAGATCAAACTTTCCAGATTCCAGAAGATCATCAAGATGAAGGTCATTTGTTTCCAGGTCTAAATCTTTGCCATCATCTGCATCAAGGTTCAGGTTGTCCAGGTCCTCATCAACCAAGTCTTTGACCTCCACATCATCAAGGTCCTTCACAGCAGAGTCATCCGTTTCAAGCTTCTCAACACCATCACTACATGGCAATGGGATTTCCTCTGTTGGTCCAGATGTTGTGACAGGGAGTAGTGCAGATTCGCTGGGAGTAACTGAATCCCTACTGACCAAATGGCGAAGTGGTACTGCCAGTGTAGTCTGTTGTGGAACTGTATTTGTATGGTGATGCAGGTTATCCATATTAGCTGAAGTCTGCATGTGACTGACTGATCCTTGTCGTGAAAGGCCCAACATCGGATCCATTATTCTGGGACCTTGATTTCCTGTAAAGGCCATATTTTGGCCTCCCATGAAGCCATGAGGAGGTCTCTGAGGATGATTAGGATGATCCAAAGCATTAGGTGGCCCAAACGGTAGTCTGACTCTGTTCTCTGGAGCCCTGTGACAAAGTTCAATAAATGGTTGACCCATTATATTATGTTGTTGCATTGAAAGGCCACGTGGCGGAAAATGCTGGGGAAGGCCCATCTGATGATTACTGCCTATTTGCCTAGCAATGTCAACAGAAAGAGGTCGTCTCATATGTGGTGGGATATTGTCAAGCATTGGTCCACCTTGTATCTGGTGAGGGGGCCTGATGAATTGTTCTTGGTTTGGAGCTCCAGGAGGAAATCCAAATCTGTAAGGAATTAGGTTTCAAGATAACTTGAACATTAAATGAATTACTAGTTTGACAGCATAATTGATAGAGGAAAAGCACTTACCTTTGTCCTTGCAGTCTTGTGCCCATGTTGTTCAGGTCTCTGGGTAATGGCGGCCGGGAGCACTGGGGTTCATCAGACATGGACCCATGTTGATCGGCAAGGAAAGTTCCAGGAAATCTTTGTCCTGCATTAATTGGTGATGATCTCATAGTACCTGGATATGGAGGTGGGGGTCTACCAAAAATATCCTTCTGAGGTCCAGAATCGTCCTGTGACCAATGCCTTGGAGTCCCAGGTGCAGCAGTAGCAGTTGCCTCCTGGAGTCCTTTTTCTAGTCTGATTGCACTTTTCTGCTGCTGCTGTCTGAGAATTAACTGCCGTAGTCTTTGGCGCTAAAAAAGAGCAATAAGAGTATACAATCAATATTACGTCATTAAAAAACAGAAAAAGGGAAGGGTAATATTCTCTAATGGAAAACATACTTAATATGTTTTCAGACCTGTTTAATTTTCTCTTCAGTCTCTCCAAGTGGTGGTTGCATTGTGTTATGTGAATCCGATGGGTTGCCTGTGTTTACTGAAACATCATGTGACAATCTCTCCCCTGTTTGTGAACATGGGGTTAGTGAAGCTTGTTCAAAAGGATCATGAATAGGTGTCTGGTTAGGATTTGTCTGTTGTAGGGAGAGACTTTCATCTGAAATCACAGGATGTTTGGGGGTTTGAGAATCAAGGGCACAGGGACGAGCAAATGGGTCCTGCATCCTACTTTGTGCTTGATGGCCAAGTTGATCTGTTTGATGGGCCACAAAGTTTAATCTAGGATTTGGTCTGGAGAAGGCTTCTGGGCCAGCTCCTGGACGTGGGGTACCAGGGGGTTGACAATATGGGTCAGGAAGAACTGGCCTTGGTGTTCCTGGTGATTGATCATAAGTTTCATTTTTGACTGGCCTAGGAGTTCCAGGAGGCTGTAAGAAGGGATCTGAGGATCTCTGACTACCTGGTGATTTAGGGTATCTCTCTCCCGGAAAAGGCCTTGGAGTACCTGGCATCTGAGCATATGGATCAATAGCATGAGACGGAGATTGTCTGCGACTATTAGGTGACTGAGAAAACGGATCAATTGATACAGTTCTAGGTGTGGATGGTAGCAATGGGTATGGATCAGAGTGTGGTCTTGGGGTACCAGGCATCTGGGCATATGGATCATGAGGTCTTGGAGTACCAGGAGGCTGAGCGTATGGATCAGGCATTTGTTGAGGGTAGTCTGGCCTAGGTGTAGATGGTGCCTGTGAATATGGATCTCGTTGAGGGTGTCTGCTCATGGGCAATGGTTGGGCAAAAGGACCTCCTTGTCCTGGATGCATCATTCTGCCCTCATTACTGAAACCATCTCCCATTGATGGATGGGGTGTTAGAGGCTGATGTGAATAAGGGTCAGAGTGTTGAATTTGAGAGAAAGCGTCAGATGACCCCCTTCTCATGCCTTGCTGCCCCGCGCTGAATGAGTCTTGCTGAAACTGTGAAGGAAGCATGGGTGTTTTGAACACAGGCACAGATCCAGACTCATTACTCCCTGGAATAGGTGTTAACAGTGGCCTAGAGTAGGGGTCAGAGAGAACCATGCGGCTATGGGCCATGCGCTGGTACACTTCCGATCTTTGGCCTGGCCTGGAAAAATTGTCTCCAGGCATGACATTACTAATGAAGTTTTGTCCTTGCTGCTCAGTTAATGGTCCTGGTCTGGGTGGACACATAGGTTTCACAAATGGGTCTGATGGTCGAGGTGTGTCTGGAGGCTTTGCATAAGGGTCTGTGGATTCATGAGCTGGTGAGGGCCTATTCCTTTCTTGAACGTCAGACAAAGAACCTCTTCGAGGCGTGCTTAACCCAGATGGTGGTGGCCTGGGGGTTCCCACCATTTTACCATATGGATCCCACGGAGAAGAAGGACGGGATCCAGATGATTCTGGTGAAAACATTTGAGGAGACTGAGGCTGAGATGAGGGTCCCTGCATGTACTGAGTGTCCTGGGTAGGGGTCTTTGCTGTGGATGAAGGGGGTGGAGGTTGGGGACGCAGAAATACATCATCTGTTGATGTACCCGATGTCACAGTTTCAAGCATCTGGAAGTCATCTTTGGAGGTCAATTCTTGCAAAGGAGAAGTGTTACCACTGCTGGTTTGAGTTGTCACTGGACTCTGACTACCAGACTCTGAGGTGTCTCCACTGAATTGCTGTTGTTGCTGCTGTTTCTGAAGTTGCTGCTGCTCATTTTTAACCTGTTCTAACTTTTGTGTGGCTTCAATTTTGGCCTGTTGTTTGCTCTTTTGTCTCATTTGCTGTCATGAAAACAAACAAAAAAAAGTACAAAAAAAGAAAAGAGAAAAAGGGTACCCGTTAATTAAGCCAATGCAAATAAAAGAAGACTGCATTATTGATTTTATATATTTTTTGCCAAAATGTATATATGTAAATATTTAGTGCTGCCAACGTTAACGCGTCCATGCATGCAAAGTTTAACGAGTTAAAATTATTTAACGCAATTAACGCAGTATCTGTTTTTTTTCTGTTATCGTTTGGCTAGCGTTACATTATATGATCACGCTTTTATCCATGCAAATGCTTTTAAATCATTCAAGTGCGACAAGACAAAAAAAGATAAACACGATGTCTGTGAATGTCCTGACACACACGACGCAAAGAAAGACGAGTGCCAGAATCGAGTTCTCCTTCGCATTTGAACGAACAATAACACACATAATTATGCCAAAATTTCTGTTTTATCGAGTATTCTCATAAGAGCAATCTTAAATGAGTTAAATAAGGTCTTAAATGAAAGTAAAGAGTGTGAGGCGTGTGAAATCTTATAGCTTTCAATTACACTGTAATGTTGAATGGCTATAGAGCTGGTAAGTCCCGCCCATCCGTAAAACTCCAAGTGGACCTCTAGGTTGAAAAAGCGCCAATGCAAGTGAATGAGAGAAAATAATTATTTTCTGATCCCGTTTGAATTGTGCCATGAATGTGAACATATGTTGTCTGTGAATTTTTTATAGAATTTCTCATGTAACGAGTTTGACAGTATATTGTATGATTCTTTGGCTAGCAGTTGTGGAATAGACAAAACGAGAAAGACTACACGTCGCATATGTGACGACACCGCATAACACATTTTCCCTCCACAAATCACGGTGCGATAATCTAAGGAATTAGATCGAGATGCCTGTGTGTTTTGTACCCAAATGTCACCATTCAAACAAAGGCATGTTTAGCGGGATCCGTGTGCTAGTGGTGGTGACGTATATCAAACGCGTCGAAAGCAGCGAAGAGTTGTAGTCCACAAAGTGCTCTCACACAAAGTCTAACCGTATGAAAATTCGACCTGCTAAATTGTAGCATACTTTACACGAAAATTTATATAAAAAATTCACAGACAACATATCTTCACATCCATTGCAAAATTCAAACAGGATTAGAAAATAATTATTCTCTCATTCACTTGCATTGACGATTTTTCAACCTAGAGGTCCAGCGGGGTAAGCGGAAGGGGCGGGACTTACCAGCTCTATAATGTTTAAAATGGGAAAAAAAAAAACATTTTCTTCGAGTCATCAGTAGCAGTATTAGTAATAGTGATACTGGCCTTCATTCATAAAAAGATGCCATTAAAGTATTTAAAACATACTGTCTTTATGTTGTTTCTACATTAATTTGAAGTTTAACTGAGAAATTATTACATTATAAAATACAGTAGTCAACATTTGAAGTGGATCAAAATAGTTCATCAAAGTTGTCCTAAGACAAAATTCATGTATAACTTTGATGAAAGGTTTTGATCCACTTCAAATGTTGACTACTGTATATTCAAAACTTATAAAAACGCAAGTGCTTTCAATTGTGATTAATCACAGAGGAAAAATGTGTGATTAATCTAGTTTTTTTTTTTTTTATCCATTGACAGCACTAATATATTTTTTTGTAAACACTTTATCAGACCATATTTGTTACCGAGTATTGGCAGATGTATGCCAGAACTGTACCTCAACCTGGGATCCTAACAATGTTGAATGTAAAGTCTAAAAAGTATTAACTTGTATGAAGACTTAAGACCACTGACAAGAACATTATACTTATTTACATTTAACACTTATTTACTTATGCAAAGCTTTGTCATATGTCCATACATACTGCATTTCATTCTGAGAAATTAGCAAAACTATAACATTTGCTGATCACATCAAATTGATTTCACATCCTATAATATAGGCCTAGACTCAACTTCATTCAAAATGGCTATTAAACAACATTCTGATTAAAGATTATATTGTACTGATCAGCCCAAGGTGAAATCATTTATCAGAGGTTGAGACACCCTGTTTTGCAAAACACAGTCTTAAAATCTAGCATTTACAATGAAACATCCGTTGGGATGTCAATCACCTGTCTGAACTTCCACTCTTGTTCATGCTCAGATTCTTTGTGCTTGAGCGGATCCTTGAAGAGCAGCTCTGTGTCTATGGGAATGCTGGGATCAAAGGGATCAACTGGCTGCTGCTGCTGTTGCTGTCTTTTCATTGTGTCATTAGACATCTGAACTTTGTTTATACGAAGGGCTGCTCGGTTGTCTCTCGCCTTTTGCTAGTGGGGTAGAGCCAAGTGAAAAAGTCAAAACTTTTGATATACATACAAAACTATATAACATTAGGATTTATGAGGCTTAATAAAAGAGCATCTTACCACATAAGGTGCCCTTTCCTGAGAACTAGCTTTCCTCCATAACTTTGCAATTTGCTTTACTCTAGTTGCCCAATCTGTGAAAAAAGTCAGATGATTGGTATCTAACTTGACTCCATTTCAAGTTTGCAATTCTACTTGAGGTGTATTAGGACAATCCATTCACCTGGAAATTCATCTGGAAGGTTAGGGAAGTTCATATTGGTGTATAGAACAGGAGCCACAGTGGCCATTTCACCAAGCGTTTCCTCTTTCTCCCACTTTAACGTGCTCCTCTGAGCATTGGACATGGTGTCAGTCTCCACCTCTGGTGGAGGGACAGATCCGGGCACGGGCCCAGGAGAAGCCCAGGGACCAATCACATCACCCCCTATCTGGCTGAATTTCTTCTCCCTGTAGTGACATATCAAGCCATTAAGTGTCTTTTTCATAAGTCACTGAAACTATATATATTTTTAAATGGAAATGCCAGTACCAATCTGTGTTACTCAAAATCTGAATTCACTCACGTCACATTTTCTGGAAAAGGCATGCGGTGGATGGAAGAGAATGTGCCAGACACTCCAGCTTCAGCAATCATGGGGTTCGGAATAATGTGCGTGTTTGGCCCCATCATGCCATTCATCATAGGCAAGCGTGGGAACATTCCACCAGCATCTCCTGCAAATGGAGAAACATGCACTCACATAATGAGCTGTGTAGTTTATATGTGATACTCAAGCACAGTACAACATTACATCTGTGTGGTTTAATTGACTGTTCATATGAGGAGATAGACAACTTGATACCTGGGTTCTGGAGAGACATTGCTGTGGCTGAGGCAGTGTTGGGTGAATGAGTAAGTTGAGGTGGCTGGTTGGCGCTTGGACTGAGCACTGCTGTGAATAAGTCTTCCACGTCCTTACCCTCCAGTTCTAAACAGAATTAATAGAATGTAGAATATACATATTCAGAACTGAAATAATTTTTGTTATTTGGTTGATTTTACCAACCTGAAAATAAGAGCATTTTTTCAAGATTTGGCAAATAATACATTGAATACTGTTAAAAGTTCAAATTGATGCATTGAATTTTCATTGTCAGAGCATGACACATCATGAATCAATGCATTTTTACATCTCTAGTTAAAACTGCCTGAATACAAAATGGTGCAAGACAATTTACACACCTTTCTAAATAGGCAAAATCTTCAGAAAATGAGTGAATAACATTTAAAACATCTGGTGTTTTGCAGAAAGTTGTAAAAATATTTCAGAAAGCAACAAACCTGGAATTTTGTAGAACTTACTCAGAATGGCCCCTGTAAACAAGGAAATATGATTATAAGTAGGCCAATAATACAAAACCCAACATCTAATGAAATATAAAGATGACTCAATATATCACAGCATAAAAAGAGTTAAAGCCATAAAGATGTAACCAAATACCATTTTTTCATGTGCCAAAATCCCTTTTTCAGTTATTACACTTCAGTTTGCAAACAATAATCACAATTGCCAAGGAAGAAAAGCTGCTAGGAAAAACACTTGCTGGCTAAGGAAGGAACAATTGGAGGAAGGAATTGCCAGATACCAATATCAATTTTATGAGAAAATCAATCTGTGATAAAAATTTGTATGTAAATGTAACATGCTATAAAAACAAGGATAACATGTAATTCATCTCTGGTGTATTTTGAGAAAAGCAGCACAAAAAGAGAGAATAACTTTTAAGAAAAAATGCATGACTCTTACCATCAGAAACCATCTTGTCCAGCTCAGGACTTAGTATTACATCCAGAGGTTCCTCTTGTAGTGTCCTAGACCCTCGAGAAGAGCCAGGATGAGGGGAAGCCGACTGATCATCCGGTAGGGTGCCAATGTTCAAACCAGCTGGGAAGAAAGTTAAACAGCTAGTCTCAAACTTAGTTTCTTAGCTCTACTGAATACACAACTCAACAACACAACTCAAAATCTGCCGAAAAACAGAGCTGTCATTCTGTAAGCGCCTAAATCAGAGTTGATACGCAACCAATTTCTACTGTGTCTTTGCTAAGATAAGAAAGTAAAAAACAAAGGGAGACATGACTGACATTTCATGTCATGGTAAAATGAGGAAAAGGTTTTCTCTCTCTCTATCATCCTCTCAACTAACTCAATTTTCCAAGAAACAGTAACCTAATTAGTGTTGCCTGCCCAACTGTGTGAAAAAGTCCCTTAAATATTGACATTTTCATCATTGCATATCATTTCCCATTAGAATAGAGCTTACTCAATGAAAAAGCAAGCAATTGCAATGAACTTGGTTATTAGGTACCATACAATAGGTGGATTTTGCTCAATGTAAACAGTAGTTTGAAGATATTTGCGTCACGTCACCTACTGGAATCCCTGTGAGTATCATTCTAAAACTACTGCATTTATAGGGGTTGTATCAGAGCCATAACCACCATAGACATTGAGGGGAACAAGTCCGTCCCCCCAATATTTGATATTCTTAATGCTGTTCTGCTTTACTCCATTACACACTGCTGTTTGTTGTTAGGATGACAAAGTTTTAAATGTTACATTTGTGACCCGTTACAGAAACCAGGGACACAAGTCGGCAGCACAACTTGCGAGCAAAATGAGAAAGAAGCGTTATATGTATGGCATATTGGTCTTTGTGTGTTGTTGCTGGTATACGTTGCAAATAGAGGGGCAGCACAATTGTTTTTTGCCTAGAGCGGCAGAAGTGCATTCGCCGGTCCTGGGGGTGAGTTTCCATAAACATTAAAGTTTGTCGTTTTGTGTTCATTCTAAGAACACGTAGGCTACACGTTATCTCATGTTTAGTCTGTTTAGACCTTCCCAATACCTACCTATTGTTATTAGCTAGCTCAGGAAAGAAAAAAAGCTGTAAAGCACAGGGGGAAGCTTTACAGGGGGTATGGCTTATCTAAATGAGATGTAAATGAGCCCTATTGTCACTCCCCCCAGCAGAGAGAGGTGAGAACTGCACATCTTTAGAGGCTGTTATCTTAACTTTTAGTTATTTTAAGTGCCTACCTTCAAATGGCCACAACTTCTCTAAATATGATCAGATTTCCACGTGTTACACATCGTTGGAAAGCTTGGAGACTACACATTCAGAATCTATGAATAACTCAAAATGCCCCAGAACCGACTTGTGTCCCTAGTTTCCGTAACTGGTCACATTTTTATGTTGGTCTGCCTCAGCGGTCTTAACAGTGTTCTTATTTCTTTTTCTTTATTTCATTAAATCCCTTTTGATCATTTAATTCCTTTAAATAAACCAATAGGACCAATAACAATCTTACTAAATACACTGAACAAAATTATAAACTCAACACTTGTTTTTGCCCCCCTTTTTCACGAGCTGAACTCAAAGATCTAAGACTTTTTTTATGTACACAAAATGTCTATTTCTCTCAAATATTGTTCACAAATCTGTCTAAATCTATGTTAGTGAGCACTTCTTTGCTGAGATAATCCATCCACCTCACAGGTGTGGCATATCAAGATGCTGATTAGACAGCATGATTATTGCACAGGTGTGCCTTAGGCTGGCCACAATAAAAGGCCACTCTAAAATGTGCAGTTTTAATGTATTGGGGGGCTCCGAAAACCAGTCAGTATCTGGTGTGACCACCATTTGCCTCACACAGTGCAACACATCTCCTTCGCATAGAGTTGATCAGTTTGTTGATTGTGGCCTGTGGAATGTTGGTCCAGTCCTCTTCAATGGCTGTGCGAAGTTGTTGGATATTGGCAGGAACTGGAACACGCTGTCGTATACGCCGATCCAGAGCATCCCAAACATGCTCAATGGGTGACATGTCCGGTGAGTATGCTGGCCCTGCAAGAACTGGGATGTTTTCAGCTTCCAGGAATTGTGTACAGATCCTTGCAACATGGAACCGTGCATTATCATTCTGCAACATGAGGTGATGGTCGTGGATGAATGGTACAACAATGGGCCTCAGGATCTCGTCACGGTATCTCTGTGCATTAAAAATGCCATCAATAAAATGCACCTGTGTTCGCTGTCCATAACATACGCCTGCCCATACCATAACCCCACCGCCACCATGGGCCACTCGATTCACAACGTTGACATCAGCAAACCGCTCACCCACACGACGCCATACACGCTGTCTGCCATCTGCCCTGTGCAGTGAAAACCGGGATTCATCCGTGAAGAGAACACCTCTCCAATGTGCCAGACGCCATAGATTGTGAGCAGCACGGCAGTGGCTCAGTGGTTCATGTAGGTTGTCTACAAACCAGAAGGTTGGTGGTTCAATCTCCGGTTCCACCTGACCAAGTGTCGAGGTGTCCATGAGCAAGACACCTAACCCCAGCTGCTCCCGACGAGCTGGATGGCGCCTTGCATGGCTGACACCGCCGTCGGTGTATGAATGAGTGAGTGAATGGGTGAATGTGAGACAATGTGTAATGCGCTTTGGTGGACATTGGGTCTGTGAAAGCGCTATATAAATGCAGTCCATTTACCATTTACCCACTCAAGTCGGTTACGATGACGAACTGCAGTCATGTCGAGACCCCAATGAGGATGAAGATCATCCCGATGAGCTTCCCTGAGATGGTTTCTGACAGTTTGTGCAGAAATTCTTTGGTTATGCAAACTGATTGTTGCAGCAGCTGTCCGGGTGGCTGATCCCAGACGATCTTGGAGGTGAAGATGCTGGATGTGGAGGTCCTGGGCTGGTGTGGTTACACGTGGTCTGCGGTTGTGAGGCCGGTTGGATGAACTGCCAAATTCTCTGAAATGCCTTTGGAGACGGCTTATGGTAGAGAAATGAACAATCAATTTACAGGCAACAGCTCTTGTGGACATTCCTGCAGTCAGCATGACAATTGCACGCTCCCTCAAAACTTGCGACATCTGTGGCATTGTGCCGTGTGATAAAACTGCACATTTTAGAGTGGCCAGCCTTAAGGCACACCTGTGCAATAATCATGCTGTCTAATCTAGGGATGCAACGATACCGCTTTTTCAAAACCGATCCGATCCGATCCCAAAATTCTGAGTATCGGCCGATACCGATACCAATCCGATACCAGTGCAGTTTTTTTTTTAAATCAAGTAGAATTTCTATAACTCTGTGTGTTGAACTGATAATCACTCTTTTGTGTGTTAAACACAATCTACTTAACACAGACAACTTAATTTTAAAGAAAAACAACAAATCCAAAAAATATATGATCATAATCTGTGACAAAAATGCTATAATAAACTAGATTAGTGGATAATTCAGCAGTGCAATTTAGTCTAGAAAAATCATGAGTGCACAATAATTGTATAAAATCTGAACATTTAGTGAAGAAAATTTAGGGGAACAAATAAGAGACAATAAGTGTAACACTAAATCTGGTCAAACATTACACATTGCTCTTTGTATTGTTGTAAAATACATTCATGAAAAACAAGATAACAAAAATCAAAAAGATAAATTATTATATATAGGGCCTAGCCTATGGCTAGGCTACTATAAAATTGAGACATGTTTTAAATGTATAGCACAGCTGTTTAATGAGGCAGCAACATATGATAGATAGGACAGAACAAGAAAGGCTATTAATAATCTTTCATTGCGCAAAAGTAGTATTATATGATTATGAAAGGATCCAATACAGTGCGGCACACAGCGCTTATGCGCATCCCGAGCGCAGAATGATGCGCTTGAAGCAACACGGAGTCACAACGCGCAGCGCGTCGAATCCGCATTGAACAGTTCAAAGCACAAAGGAAAGACATATCGATGCGTAGTGTATTATACACAGTATCTATGCAATCGTTTATTGAGCCTTTTCTTTTAACAGTTTTAAATTTCAGTTACTGTGCGCGTGAAGAACAATTATAGTGCTCTCTGACTCTAGGCTACTCTGTTGCGATCTAACAGACGCCCGGTAGAAAGTAACATGATTTAGTTACAGCAATAAAGTCCAGCAATATAAAGTTGTTTTATGCTAAACCATAGACCTTTATCTACAGATCAAGAATAATAATAGTAACATTGAATCATCTTGATCTTGGAGAGTTTCATCGTGTTGCCTGTCGTAACAGAACGCGACGCGCTGTTAAATGCTGAATGGAGAATGACTGACAGCGGGAGGGAAAAAGTTTACGAGGTCTTGAATTTAATGACTTAAATATTAATTTTTATCTCACATTATACTATATAATGGCTTCAGAACACTTATAAGATAGTGCACGAAAACTTTATGGTACTTGATAATGTTTTTGTGCCTTTTGTGGGGCTTAACAATAACACAGAATAATACGCACAATATCGGATTTGGATCGGCCTCCTCTGACCGATACCCGATCCGGCAAAAATGGCAGTATCGGAGCCGATACCGATACTGAGTATCGGATCGATGCATCCCTAGTCTAATCAGCATCTTGATATGCCACACCTGTGAGGTGGATGGATTTGCTCAGCAAAGGAGAAGTGCTCACTAACACAGATTTAGACAGATTTGTGAACAATATTTGAGAGAAATAGGCCTTTTGTGTACATAGAAAAAGTCTTAGATCTTGAGTTCAGCTCATGAAAAATGGGGGCAAAAACAAAAGTGTTGCGTTTATCAAAGTCAAGTCAAGTCAATTTTATAATTTTGTTCAGTGTAATAAAAAAAAAATAGATATGAAAACAGATATGAAAATATTGGAATGTACTTAACATGTTTTAACTGAAATAACTAAAATACATTGATTAAGTTCAACTAAAATATTTTAAAATGAAGATAAATTAATTTTGTGTAACCACTTGGCTTAAAAAAATTTGTAAAATATTTTCAGTGTATAATGTTTAAGTCTCACAACTTATAATTATGAAAAAGTCCAGGTTTTAATGTTTATTCTGATGCAATGTCTTGCCTGACTATTGTAAGTGTATTACCATATAAAATAAATTTTTGAATTTAAAGGACAAGTTGAAATTCTGCATGGAGTTAATAGAGCTTAAGTTGTGTTACACACGAAACATTTGTCTAAACAAAGCACCTTGGTATTTACTACCAAGCAGGTAAGCAAAGCCTTATATATTTACATATATATTGCACACAGAGGTTACGCTACGAATAATAATTGTGTGTCACTTTGACAAATTGGGTTGTAAATTTTCTGTCATGTTCTGTTTATCCATCTGTAAAATACTGTAACATTTTGTATTTTAAACAAGAGACCACAAAAACTTTCAATGATAAGGGTAGTCCTATAAAGCGCTGTGTTCAGTTTCTTTTTATTCTACTCTCAATTTCTTTGCTCAATAAATTAGCTGTCAACGTAAAAAAAAAAAAACTTTTTTTGTTTTGTTAATACAACCTCTATTTATAGGTTTATACATTATATGTTAAGGAAAACTAGAAGCGGTAAAAACCTTGTTTTCAAACCCTTTAGAGCTGACTTTCACACTGAAGAAAGTTACATAACTCACAAACCATTAATTTCACCACAGCAAGGCCATTCCACAGAGAGGGGAATGTGTCCTTGCCAACTAAAAAGCTGGCAATTGTGAAGAAATAAAATTATCAACTAAATTAGACCCTGGAGAAAAGAAACAGGACTAAACAAATAATTTTTAAGCACATTTCAGAAAAATGTCACAGATTGCAAACAATCACAGTTGCCAACTAAGGTACAGAGGCAGCCAAACCCAACGTCCATCTAAGGACAGTTTAGTTCTCACCTCAGTGTCACAACAGGGTCATGTGCAAGAAAACATGTGGTTTGTTTGTTTGTGGTTAGAAAAAAACAGAAGGAGAAAGCTCAAATAAAATGCATGTGTGTGTGTGTTTGTCAGGAAAGGGATCATGCAGAAACCGGCACAACAAATAATCTGAGGGCCTGTTTAGGGGCCGAGAGGCCAGGAGAGGGGGGCTGCTCTACTTCTACAGCCAGAAAGGCTGTGCCAACAGGGCTCTTACCGAATGGAGAGGGGGAACGGTCCACCTGGAAAGGGCATAAATCAAGACCTACAAGAACCCAAACCAGATAAAACCAAATAATTATAAAACAGAAATGCAGAGACAAAAAAAGTAAAATAAAAAAGGAGTATGCTAAGAAGACAACAAATAAAGACAAACAGAGCAAACCAGGTAAAATGTGAAATGCAAGTGTGAAAATGTGAAAAAAAAAGAGGAGATGCAATTGTGAAGGCACACGATTACAGGTGATTTCTGGGATTGTTAGAGCATCTGCAGAGTGAAGAGAGAAGAGAGACTATCCATCGGCCAGATCTCGGGACTCAGTCTACCTGATTCAGGGCCTGGCTTGACCAGGTCATCGGACAGCATTCCCAGGAGATCATCATCTGAATGTAGAACCAGCTCAGCTAAGGGATCCTCCACATTGGCTAGAGATCAAGAAGACAAGTGTTTCTGAGCACGAGTATCCATACTAATCACCAAGTGTTCCTTGATTAAATGTTACCAAAGGCTGGGCGGTAAGACCTATATACTGTGGCGGATGGACTTCTTTATAATAGGGGTGTGACTTCTGTCAGTTGGACACGGTTTGGATTATAAAAACACAATGAACAAAACTATAAACCATGTCATGAGAAGCTCTGATCCAAAACATAGTAAGCTGCCTATGAAAATTTTAAAGTCACCATAAAATCAGATTTTTTTGTTTTGTTTAAGGAATACTGCAGTTTATTATAAATGAATTTTCTGTGCACATAATAATAATAATAATAAATAAAAAAAACCTTGTGCCTTCATTATCTTTAATCAAAAACATTAACTTTTCCTCGCAACATCACCTCTTCTCTGATGAAGTGTGCACCGACGCGAAAGCAGGACAACAACCTCTCCATTCCAGCAATGCGATCGCAGTTATTAGCAAACGACAACGATTCAATCAATTCCCCATGGACAAAATCAGGTTCTGCCCTACATCTCCCTTTAATGTCAAATGCAAAAGGACAACTAATTTGGTCAACTTTTAAGGCAGAATTGCTTTTGCGTTAAGGACAAAAAAAAAATTCATTCAGTGAAAAAAAATAAAAAATCAATCCAAGATGGCAAATGATGCGGAAGAAATAATGGCTATAAATATAATCATTTCCATTTAATATCAAATATTATCAATATAAAATAGTTCACCCAGTATTTGTGTGCGCTGTGCAATTTTAAACGTAGACAAATGCGTTGATAATAGCTTTTCAAACTTTTGAGTTGAGCCTCCTTTATGTGTTCCAGTGCTATTTTTTTAGAGCATTCAACCATATAAGGTTGCATTTCGGAAAAGAAGCTGACTTAGAGGTAGCTGTAAAACACGAGGCAGCTCACTAAATTTTGGAAGAGCCACACTATTACATCTAAATGAAATTGCTCATGTTTCTGTATCGACCTTAAACATTGACATGTCCAACTAAATAAAAAGGGTTTTTCAATGACATTGGCATCCGCCTGTTCCTCATCTTTAATATTTTTGTTATATCCTTGCAGTGGTACAAGATTTTGGTCATACCGCCCACCCCTAATGTTAACTGAAATATTCTTTATAATTTTGCTACAATCAAGGTTTCAGTCGCATTAAATGTATAAAGATGCATGCATAATAAGATTCCCAAATCAAACACTTGTTTCGAGATTAAAACTCCATGAAAGGGTTAAATACGAGAATCTACAGAGCAGAGAAAGGAGCTTCGCTCTATGGGAGATGAAAATCTCTAAGGACAAGCAAGCGGCCCTGAAAGCCTTCAAATAACTTTGTGATTTCTCTCCAAACGAATACGCACAAGCCTTCTAAACACTGAACTGTTACTGCCAGCTTTCTATCCTCCCAGAGAGCTACGACGGGGAATTCAGAAAAGTGCTGGCAAATTGGGTTTTAAAAACATTTTAGTTTGGCTATGAGCAGAGGTGTGCTGCCTTTGGTGTAAATGAGGGTTGACAGAACTGAGGATAAGGAGAAATGGTGAAGAATGAGGCATTTGAACAAGCTCTTCAGCCTTTAAGAGTATGCAAATAAGGGCTGAAGTGGACACAAAAGGAGCACAAGGGGGTTAAAAAAAGTTCATTTGTACAGTGCATCTTTAGGCCCTGTGGCAAAAATATGAACCCAGGCTGTAATGCAATCACTGTAGGATTCTGCAGTGCTGCTGGGTTGTGTGATGCATTCAGTGTGTGCAGAGGAGAAAGCGGGAGGTACGGTGATAATGTGCATTATACTTCCCTACAGAATTCACTGCAGTCTAGAGCAGTAAAATGTGACCTAATGGGTTAAAAAAAAAAAAAAAAAAAAAAAAACTCTCTACCCAAAGGCAATTCACAGTAGAGATAAGACTTCTAAGCGGTTTGGGAAGCACTCTGTTTTTATATATATATATATATATATATATATATATATATATATATATATATATATATATCTTCAGCTCTATATATATATATATATATATATCTTCAGCTCTATTGGTATTTTTAAATATGAAGACAGAGCTGAACATACGCAGTTGCCCTGCTTTAGATGAGCCTGGAGTGGAAGTGGTACTGAGAAGTGGGTCAGATAAAGGGTCCAGGAAGCTTCTGGTTTGTGATTTGCTGTCTGCATGATTGGGTTCTTCCTCCACAAGCCCCGTTTCCAGAGTCGACTTGGTCTTCTTGCTTTTAACCAGAAGTTCTTTCCCAAAAAATGCTTCCTGTAACACATACATGTTCACAAGTTAATAAACCAGGCTCTGGCAATACATCATGCACAAGCACACTAAATAATAACTAGATTTCCACATTCTGTGCAAAAACTGTACCAAAAGAGCTAAAATGCCCTACACTTTAAAAATAGTAATAATCTAATTTGTAAGTAAAACAGATTATTGGATTAGGTTTACAACAAAATTCAAATTTTCTGTTTTTCTTCTTCAAAATGTCATGTTTAATTCAATGTTTTACTTGCCATTTCTTTGTAATTATTTGTGAAATTTACAAGCAATTTCGGAGTGAAAATTGTTTCTACAATTTCTTTCAGTATGGGTGGATTCTAGTTTGCTAGGGTTTTCTGGGTAATTGCTAGTTGATTTCTAGGGTGATCTGAGTGGTAGCTCCAAGACTCTAACGTTATTTTGCTGTCTGGATTTGGCATTTTTTTCTGCTTATTTTGTCATCCACCAGGTGAAAGTCGCAATTTTTTCTTTGCAACGCTTACTGTAATTTTGGCTTGAAATGTCAAAAGGCTGCCACAGTGCTACAAGGTAAAACAAGTTTGTAGCACATCAGAATATCTAACAGTACCAAATTATCAATGTGATGACTCCCTGCAGTGTTAAAACATTAAAGGCCTAATGTGCTTCAATTTAAATCATTGATTCAAGACATCCCTCTGGTGACGACCTTTAAGTCTGATTCAAGGTTTGACAAACAGGAGCGCCTAACGTGACAGCTGTTAAAGTTAATGCATCACTGCATCTCCATGCTGAGCATGATGGTCTTTTTTAAGAGCAGTGTGTCAACCCTACACATGCTCACAAAATCCCTGACCACTACATTCATTCTTCAGATCAACCACATTCAGCTTTGACATGGATACAGGGCTGCTTATGTTTACTGAGAGAACTAGTAATTTGTTACAAGATACTTTTATCTAAAGTGACTTATGTAGTACACTTACAGGTTTATTCCCCTGGAGTGGCTTGTGGTTTAAATAATGTTCCAGATTCAACACAAGTTAAGCTCTATTGACACCATCTGTGGTCTGTTCTCAATTACCAAAGAAAATAATTTAGAGTCCAGATTGCAAAAACAAGCAAAATTGTTTTTTTTTTTCTAAAACCTTTTCACATGAACCAGACTGCTATTTTTAGCTAACTGGGCCAACGGCTCACTAGCTAAGAAGTTGGACTGAATACTCAAGTACATTTTCACATGAATGTCTATTGTTTTGTAATTGAGACCACAGAAACACTTTGACAATTAACATAATTATTTAATCAATTGTTGATTCATTAGTTGATGTATTCTATGTTGGTGCATTTTGTCAATTATAATTATACTAAGCAATTTATTTTGCTTAAATTCAGCTAGAGGACACGTTGGATTTCTTCACTAACGAGAAGTGATCGGTGCACTACAGTTTAAGAAACATTTTATATAAACATTTGTGGGTTTGACCTGTAGGTACGAGGGGAAGACCTCTTCGAGTTTGGTTTTCTTCTTCCTGTATCTCTTCTTGACTTTCTCCAGAGGCTCACTAACAATGGGAGTCCCACCCACTGGAGTATCTGGTTCATTCCAACCTGGTGAGAAGATAAACTTGATGCAACAACTAAGAGTACCGACCAAAATAAATAAGCATCAAAAACAGAGATGTCTATACCATACCTTGTTCCTTTCCTGTGAGGGTCTCTGCAAGCGAGCTTGTAGAGTCTTTCTGACTGAGAGACCGCTTGCCTTTTCCCTGGCCTGCTTTGCTCCTCTGACGCACCATAAAGCCACCGATACCTAAAGAAGGAAGAAGGGGAACAAAAATCGAATTTAACTTAAAACAGTCCAAAAAAAAAAAAAAAAAGAGAAGCTGCTGGACCCATAAACTGGGTGATGGAAGCAATCACGAATTAATAACATGGGACCCTGGACAGTGACGTCTTGACGTTCATCTCCATAATTCAGGAAGACGTATGAATTTTAAGCCAGAAGAGGGTGATTCATCTTGGCTACGCTCCTGGAGGAACCATTTCAGGTAAGTCTATTTCTGGTTGTGCCACATTGGCTGTTTCTGACCCCACAACCCCCACCTCAGCACAGTCCACTGCATGGACACAGAGAGTCAGGACAGACTCTTGGATTGGTTTATGTAGTGTAAATAGTGGAAAAATTTCTATTGTAGGATACAGGGATGAAAACTAAATGCAATACTAACAAATCAAAGAGCACTTAAACGAGGCTTCACTAATAAACATTTCTGAAGTCTTTATGTATTCACTTCTATCAAAAAAAGAAAAGAAAAAAGTATGGCACATGCGGGGGTGGGGGAACTTTGAAAAACAAAAACTAGATTTGTTCAGAATACTAAAGGCCCCGATATACTTCAAGCGAAATTGAAGGATGAACTGGTCTGGTGTCATTTCAAACAAAATCAGGCCAAAATGAAGCTTGTTTGGGGTTTGAAACAGCTTGCCAAAGCTAACTTTCTGGAAAAGTGCTCTCTGGCTGGTAAACATCTTTAAACTTCCATTGGTCATTGGAAATTATGCAATAGGTGCTATGTCTATGTCTTTGACATAGAAATCTACATTTATTCTGTTGAGTCTGTAATGGTCAAATGCGAGTAAAAAAATTAACACACTTGAATAGATGCTTTACAGTAGAAATTTAAGTTGTAATTGTAATTGAAAGCGCCACAGATATTTTTTTCCACGTTTAATACTGTAAAGCTGCTTGCTTAAAAGAAATGTATTGTGTAAAATGGTAAATAACAGAGGTCTCCAACCCTCCTCCTGGGGACCCACTGTCCTACAACCCTCATCAAACACACCTGAACCAGCTAAACAAGCTTTTCAGGATTGCTTGAAAATCCCAAGCTCAAGCAGGTTGAATAAAAACTTTGCAGGACAGTGGCAGGAGAAGAACTTGCCTTAAACGACACCACGAAATAGTTGAGTATTTTAAAAAATAAACACTGAACTCGGATGCAACTAGGGGTGACGTGAGGATAAAGCTGTGCAGATACACATGTCTATACAGGATGTTATTTTTTTAAGAAAAAAAAAAAAACGAAAAAAGGAATGGAGGCCAGTGCTTAAAAAGGACATTACTTTAAAGAGATTACTTTAGTCAGAAAGAAAAAAAAACCTCAGAGAGAACATTCTTTCCAGAGTTCTCCCCGGCTAGGAGCTTTAAAGAGCAAAGCACTGTGGGATGCTATTTAAGGTCCAGAATTTGCAGCCGCACTATTTCACAGTCCAGTGGAGCTGTCCTTTCCGATAAGTGCACCTTTCTCTCTCTCTCGCTCTCTCTCACCCGGTCTGTACGGCTTCCTTTTCCTCTTCTTGTTGCCGTCGGCCCCTTTCAGGTGGTCATCACAGGGCTCACGCTCGGGGCTGGAGTCAGATTTCCCATCACAGTCCATCGGATCGCCCTCTGCAATGCGGCCAAACAACACAGAGCACTGTAGATGCTGACAGAATATCCTCTAAACCACACAAAGATACATACATAGACAGTGTGGTTGACATAATTTTTTTCTATTTCTTTTATATGAGGTTCATTCTGATTACCAATTAAAAACCTTCTTTATAAGATAATTACATTCTAGCAATAAAAAAAAAAAAAACTATTTTACAATGAAATTTTCACTTTATTTTTTACGATTTTATAATAAAATAAAATGATATCCAGCATTCCCTAAATAGGACAAGCGGTTTAGAGAATGGATGGACAGCATCTTCACAAAATAGAAACACTAAAAACAATGGTACAATTTGTGCAATTATATCTTGTTATATTTTTTTATAATTTGCGTCATATCTTGGGTGTTACATTTTTACGCCATAATTTGTTTCATGGGGTGGAAATCATGTGGTAACAATCATGTGGTAAAGTCTTAACATAAAAAAATAAATAAACTCTTAACATGAACCCAGGAGACGGAGTTACTATTTAAAGTTGTAAATTGCAATTTTATATAGTATGCTCTGGCAGTGAGGGGGTTAAACTGCTGGCCCCATTCCTCATCATTACCCCCCTCCTGTTCTCTCAGACTGGTGCTCTGATGGAGGGGTTGGCCATTAATTCAGTTAGAGCCGTCCAGCCTCTGATCACTGGAATGCAAAGGCAGGTATAATTTGCTGACTGCTGTTTTCAAAGGCTCTCTTCTCTCTCCAAGTCAAATTCATTACACGGCTCACCTTCCTGTGGATTTCTCTCTCGCTCTCTCCACTGTTTTTTTTTTTTTTTTTACATTTTCAACAAATCTTTTCTTTTTTAAATCTATTTTCTAGATTATTCTGTCTTTATCGGTTATGTTCAGCTGTGTGATGGCTGTCATCACCAATTAACAATCACCGTCAAAGTCAAGTGGCACAATAAAGTCAAAGCCAGATATTTTATTATGATTTAAATTGTTTTACGAAAACTAAAACTAAAGCTATAAAAACACATTTTCATTATTTGAAATAAAATAAATGAGATCTTAAATTAGATCGATCAATCAATCAATCAATCAATCAATCAATCAATCAATCAATCAATCAATCAATCAATCAATCAGCTAGTTGCCAAGGCAACATTTCTCATTCTCTTTTAGTTTAACCCTTTAAGCCCTGAAGGCATTTTGAGTTGTTGTTTGAGACATACACAAAAGTAAAGACTCATAACTCCAAAACTAGCAAGGACAATCAAAAGGTAGGTATCGTTTGATAGAAAACTTTTTACACAAAAAAAAAAAAAAAAAAAAAATTACATTTGGACATTCTCATGCTGAGAAACTGCTGATAAAAAAAAAAAAAGAAGGGTGCTCAAGGGAAATTTGACACATCTTTCTTATTTGACATACAATAACCCAGGAAGGAAATAAGGTAGGAGGTCAAATCTTTTTTTGGTAACAGCATTTGGCACCAAGGTAGCCTTTTTGTTTAGCCCTTAACCTCAGTCAATGAACTATATAGACATTTTTATAAAAATGACAAAACAATAAAATTACTGAAACTTTAACTAAAATGAAAAACGAAAAGAGTAAATCTAATTTAAAATATTATCAAAAACTGTAATGGTATATTAATGATACTAAAATAACACTGGTTTGATTTGGGACTGGTCCCTGAAAACAAAATTTAGTGGTAAAGTAGTAATTGATCAAATATAATCAATAATATGATCACCTTTAAGCACAAACACATTCTTTACCTCTACTGTCATCCATATCTCCGTCCCTGAAGAGTTCAGCCTGAGGGTCAGGGGGCGTCTGCAGCACGGCAACACTGTTCTGATTGATGATCTTCAGCTTTAGTTTAGGTTTGGGTCGTCTGCGGCGGGCAGCTGGGACACATAAACTCTGGAGCTGGCACAAGCCTGACTCAGTCAGACACACGCCATCCTTAGTATACGTCCGCTGGAATTCTGGCACAGAACAGAAACACAGCAATAATGATTGCAAAAGTGCTCCGAGAATGTCCCTTTGACAGCAATTTAAGCAACATAATTATTACACAGCAAATCTGTTGAAGCTGAGAGTGCAATGATCAAAAAAGTATTTATAAATACCATTTTCCTTGACTTTTGCAAGAATCTGTGTCACTAAAGGAGGCTCGCTGATGTCCATGAGCTTTGCCACTGTGCCACCTGTAACAACACACAGTAAGAGGAAGATGGAAGCTTGACTTATTCCAGGGTTAACACTGCATACTCACAGTCATTTGTTTAGTTATTTATTGATAAGCGGACAGTCTGGAGCCATTAAAGGCAGATTACATTAACTGCTGCTTCATTCACACGAACAGGTTGCAGCGTGATTTAAAATTCAGGCCATCTGCTTTTTTTTAATGAACCACATTTTTCTAGAACAAAGTTTCATTGACCAAAACACTCTAGTTTCCATCTGTTAAAGAAGAATCAAGCATCAACGTCCACCATGATACAGACATAAACCAGAGAGAATACCCGAAGCGTCTTCACCTGAGGTTACGATTAGGGCATTTTTGTTCAGACATGCAAAATCCGATTTTTAGGCATATCCAACTCAAATCTGTTTAGTTCTAGTTCTTTGTAGTTTGAACAACCAAAACAAGCCATGAAATCAATTTAAAAACTCAATCCAAACTACAATCAAATGCCAATTAAATGTGATATTCGGAAATGTGAAAACTCCAGGGGCAGGATTTACGGAAATCTTCTTAGAAAAAGAAGTCTTAAGATAAAAAAAAGACAATTTGGCATTATCTGATTGTATGGCAGTTGCGGTTGCAAGGCAGTACGCAGAGCACGAAAAAAAGCATCAAGAGTCATGCATGCATGGCTGGGAGAATCCGAAGAATTGCAACAATGAGTAATTAAAGATCTTTTTGGTTTAAGGCAAAATGGTAGAAAAATGAATTATATCACGTTTGACCATTAGGTGGCGATGTCACCAAATCGATGTGGTATGGTCAGTGTGAGGTGACAATAAAAAATACAAAGTTTGGTGTCAATCATAGACAGTATAAGAAATGGACAGAGCTATCTCATTGGAACTCAGTTGAGACAGTTGAAGCCCATTTTTAGCGATTTTTGAGCACTTCCGTTTCTGACGCGCAGACTCAAACCGACTCAAACTAAGCTTGAACACGTGAGCAACCTGTCTGACAGACGTAAATATTCTAGTGGCTGTGCCAAGGGAATCTGAATCATTCCCTTCCGAAACTTGCAGAGCCGGAGATCGTGAGTATTAGCTGTCCATGAGCTCGCAGCAGGAGCAACTTTACAACTCTCTATGGGCTTCTTCCTTGACTTTATGCCTCCACGTCCCCCCGATTGCGCGCGAGTTTCTACTTCTGTCTATACGGTAATTTTCTCTAGTGTGCGCCAGAGAGTCGCGTGTTATGACGCAATCGTTAGCCTATTTTTAAAAAAACGGCTACGGGGCCATAACGTAAGATACAAAGTAATGGAGCCTTTTATACATTGTCGTGTTTCTTTAGAAATAAATAATGGACAAATGGAGTCTTTAAAAGCCTCAGATGTAAAGTTATTCGCTGTCAAAGTGACGCCAAAATGAATGGGAGTCAATGGAAATGCTAACGCAAGTGAAGTTCTGCTACAAGATGGCGGCACCCGGCCGGCTTCAACTTCCGGTCGATGGATTACCCCCTTGGTGTCAATATGCCGCAGCGTTGCAGAGTTACAACCTCAGAATCAGGTTGGCATCATGCCATTAAATTGTTAACTGCGTTATTCGAAAACGGTATGGTCTATCAAAAAGCTTTTAAAAATCTTTTGCCCACATAGTCTAAAGATGATCTGAGCCAATTTTGGTGAAATTTTGACCAAAGGTCTAAGAGTATTTAAAAGAAAAGCAGGTTTTCAAAGAAATTCAAAAATGGCGAACAGTGATTTTGACCAAATATGGAATAACTAATATCACTGTTCTTGGTGTGACTCAATGAATCTATGCAGACCAGTTGAAATAAAATAGGCAAAATTTAATCAAAAGACATTATCATTTATTGAAATTTCATAATAATTGTTGACCCCAAGGTGGCACTGTTCTGAAAGTTTTTGAGGACATTTAGGGCAAGATGCTGATGACCCATTACAATACAATAATGCAAAATTCTAAATGGCTGACCCCCAAAAATGTCCGAAATGGAAAAATTGCGTATCCTTCGACTCGGTATGCTGTATTGATTAAAAAGAGACCAGTTTTATGGCAAACCGTTCAGAAGTTATAAGCAAAAAGAGCCATTTTCAAATATAGCCTTGCATCCATTTTGATGTGCTCTTCGTCAAATTTGTTTGCACGTTATTCAAGAACGGTTTAGTTTATCAAAAAGCTTTCAATAACTTTTTGCCAGGGCTGTCTGAAGACGATGCGAGCCAATTTTGGTAAAAATTGGACAAACTGCCTGGGTCAGAAAAATAAAAATGGCGGAAAAATTTTCATGATGGAAAATGAAATCAAAGGGTGCAATCGAGGAATCAGTGGAATTTATATCTTTTTATTTCTAGCCCATACGGTTCAAATGTTATTAGCATAAACATGAGTGCAAATTTGGACAGTTGGTGGCGCTAAAGGGATTCTTTGTTAAAGGGGTCATATAATGGTACATGCACTTTTACAAGTTGATTGTACTGAAATGTGTGTTGGCAGTGTCTGTACACAACCATCATATAATGATAAAAATCCATCCAGTGGTTTTGTTTTAATCTCCTTATATGTTTTCCCCTGTCTTAAATTGAGCCGTTCGTTTTTGTGACGTAAATAAAACGGACTCCCCTCCCACGATTGTTGATTGACAGCCGCGTTTCAACACAGACCCGCCCTCGCTAGCTGTCAATCATAGTCAGCGCGGACCAGCGCGGTCATTGTTGATATGCTGGAGCACTGTCTATGAGCAGAATGGCGTCTAAGCGATTGTGGTGTTCTGTTCTTGGGTGTAATAACGAACACAGCAGTCATTTTAATGTTCCTAAATCCGAACCGCTGAAGATGCAGTGGCTGAGTTTGTTTTCGAAGGGAATATTCCCCACGAGCAACGTCAATGCTCATGTTTGCGCGAATCATTTCACACACCAGACTGCTTTATAAACGAGGATCAGTATAAAGCTGGTTTTGCTAAGAAGCAGCTCCTGAAGAAAGGATCGGTAGCAGATATTCGTGTTCCTGCTGAACCTCCAAAAGAACTGAAGTGAGTGTAACGTTTTATTAAACTTTATATTACTATTTATATTAATCCTTGTAAATCGCTAGCTGCATGCTTCACAATGAATGCGTCTAAGGTTTACACTCAGGGTACATTACGGCATGTTTTCTATGTATGACGTTCTCAATATAATGCATAATCCCACGTTTATACTGAACAACGCGTTATGGTTATGTGTTATTGTGTTACAAACGGTGTACGCCAGAGCCGGCTCTGGTGACGCATAGAACAGAGAGGCGGAGTCAGCAAAGCTCATGATCATTTAAAGTCATATGCACTGAAACGGCGTGCTGAAAACAGAGCTGTTTTTGACCAGGTAAAATAAGTGTTTTCTTGCAATTCTATTGAGAATTTTTAATTAAAGTATATTACAAACTTTTAATTTAGACCCTAAAGAATCATATTAGCTTGTACAAAAATGGCATTATATGACCCCTTTAAATGTTGAGGATGTCCTCTATCTGTGTGCCAAATTTCATAATTTTCCCAGAAGTGCTTCTATGGGCTGCCATACACTTAATGGTGGAAGAAGAAGAAGAAACAGGAATATATATTCTTAAGAATGTTTCACATATCCGGCCCCAGAGATTTGTAGCTCTTACCAGCTGTTGGCATGGTGTGCATTCTACATAGAGAGCAGTCAAAGCCCTCGTCCGCTGCATTCTCCACCTCTTCATCAGAGTTCAGCCCTTGACATGAGGCATGAACCCACCTGAAGACCATGCATCATGATTAGGCCACATTCATAATAACCAGACATCCATTAAGAAGAAGTCACAAAGGATGTAAATATCACAGGCTCAATGCAATGAATATTTCTCTCCATCAAGACCTGCATTTATTCATATACAATCTACTGCGGAGACATTTCCAATGATACTCTTTTATTCTGCCGTTATGACATTTGGCATGATAGAGTGCCACCCACCTGTCACACTGCCGGCACTGTAGGATGAGCTCTTCCTCTCTGTAGTTGCGCGCGCACACGGGACACACAGTGAGACTCGCACATGGGCCGCATTGCGTGTAGTTGTTCTGCCAGTCACACCGCAGGCCGGGGGACGTGGCTCCACACTGAGTACACAACACGCACCTGACGGAGAACAATGTAGTTACACACATATATAACATAGATTAGTGTGCAAAGACACGTTATCCCAGATACACACACTTGTAATCATAAATGTCTAAACCCATCCTTTCACACTCATTTTGTAGCCTTTCTGTGAATGGACACACCTCTTGTTTGCACATGGCTTAGCATCGACTACTCTGCCCTAAAAATAAATATTTAAATGGCTTCAACCCAAGTAAAGCTCTGACCGAATGCTTCACGATGTAATGCAAACCCAGTCTGTTTGAACGAGGATTACACGTGACATTACAGCAAATATGTATGAAATCCCTTTCGATCTTGTTTGAAAACAGCTGCTAAAGATCGAGAGTGTTAGATGGGTAGAGAGAGAGAGAAAAAAAACAATAGAGGGGGACACAAAGAGAGATTTGAGGCTAACAAAAAGATAAAGCTAAAGTATTGAGAGCAGGAGATCCATTTAAATGGAAGAAATTGAGAGAGAATGCCACAGACTCGTGAATCCATGGCACCTGTAAAGAAAAAAAGAAAATGCATGGGTATTTCACCCCAAAATCAAAAGAAAGAAATAAGAAACTATATTTTAGAAAATGAAGCTTTTGGAAAAGAAACTGAAGCCCATTTTAGGATCATTAGGACTTTGCATTTTGACATTATGAAATAACTTCAAGACCATTAAGCACATTTTTCTCCCAAATTAGTCCACACGACTAATGCACCATACATACCAATGGTTCTAAAGCCATATGATAGCTTTGTTTGAGGAACAGTCCAAAATTCAGCTCTTTATTCATGGAAAATGATCCCCTCTACTGCAGCTCAAAATTCACATTGCAGACTCACAACCAAATTTATATTCACAAAACAAGTTTCACAAATGAAAAACATTAAAGTTTACACACTTTACAATTCAACACTGATTGCTGAATCTGCATTTGCAAATTGTCATGAGTGTATGAAATGGTGTGTCTATTTTAATACTTTCCCGCCAGGCACAGATTTTCAATTTATTTTTATTTTTAAATGTTATTGAGTCAAAGCATCTGTGAATCATATTTTGTAAATATAATCATTTTGAGACTATTGTAGATCCATACAGAAATCTCACTTTTCATCCTTCATATTCAAACTGGTGCGTCACATTCAGTTACAACAAATGCAAGAAAAAATGATTAATTTCTGCAATTCTGTTACAAATTAATGCAAGTAATGCATTTTATTGTTCACTTTCTGTGACTATAATTTTAATAATTCTCACAATATTTGTGCAACTCTCTCGCTCTGCAAGTCATATCTTTCCAGAGAGACCTTTTTTTTGTATTTATTGTATTTATTTGTGCTATTGCTTTATATTAGTTCAGCTAGTAGTTTTTGGTGTGGTAATAAAACTTTAAATCAAAAGCTGTGAAATTTTACTGGTATCTGAAATTTTGGTGGCTTATATATTAAAATACATAGGACAAAACAATGAAAAGAACAACTATTATTATTTATTTATTTTTGTGGCAGGGCAAGTAAAAATTAACTACTGGCCTGACCGTGCCAGCAGAAAAAATCTTTAGCGCTGAGCTCTGATATATATATATATATATATAGCCTAAAGACCGACAGACAAAGATGAAGACAGAACTACTACAAAGTACTAAACTGGGCTGTGTTCAAAGCTGCTTCTAATTTTAGAGAAGACTTCTCTCTCTCTCTCTCTCTCTCTCTCTCTCTCTCTCTCTCTCTCTCTCTCTGTGTGTGTGTGTGTGTGTGTGTGTGTGTGTACATACCACTTGCACTTCCAGCTGCCTTTGGGTACATTCTGCAGTGGCGGGTCCAGACAGTATGTGTGGTAGCTAATGTCACAGTCATCACAGAGCAGTAAGCGCCCGGGGTCACTGGCCTGCCCACAGGCCTCACACACTGTGCACTCCAGACAGCGCCAGCCTTTACTCAACACCACTTTTGTGATCTAAAATGGGCACACACACACCTGAGGTCAGAGGTCACAGGTCAAGCACTAGTCTAAAGGGCAATGGAGGGTTATATATTTAGCAGGCAATTATCTGGATGGATATAAAAAACACAAAGAACACAGCTGTTAGATGTCTCTAGGGTCAGAGGTATTTGTCCGAAGGATTTGCTGGTATTTACAGATCAATTTATGTGGGTGGTGATAATTCAATCCAACCACATCGTCCTGTACTAAACAACAAGCATGTCCAGTCAGCCTGCTGTTCACCGGCACCTATGGGTTTGTATTCCACTGGGGAAAGGAATCATTTTATCCATATTAATAAAGGAAAATGTATATAGGCTCGACATGACAGCTATTTGGAGATGCAAACAGAATAGTTCAAATAAAAATTTAAATTATGTCATTATTTTCTCTGCTTCATGTCATTCCAAACCATATGACATTGTTTCCCCCATGAATCGCATAGAGCAGTTCATGCTACTTCTTTTCTATACAGAATGACCATGAGGTGCCAAACTCCAAAAGAGCACCATAAAAAAAGTCCTCTATAAAAAAATAAAAAATAACTCTATAAAAAATAACTCTATAAAAAATAACTCTATAATGAGTTTCACCTTTATTTTAATTCAAGTTTCACCTTTATTTTAAAAAATATTTATTTTTGCCTTTATCATGACAGGACAGTAAGCTGACAGGAAGCAAAGTGGGACAGGATTGGGAAAGGTCCGCGAGGCGGGACTCGAAGTCAGGTCGCCCGAAATGAAACAGTGCAACCAAAAACTCTGAGCTTTAAAAAGTTTGTACATAAACCATTGTAAAAGTACTCCATACGATTTAAGCTGTTTATTCCAAGTCTTCTAAGAGACACGGTCACTTTATGCAATGAACAGGAAAGCTCAACTGTACTTGCATGACGTGCAAGAACAAAATGAAATGGTGCGTGCGTTGATCAATGTTTAAATGTGAATAAAAGCCTAAATTAAATCTTTTTATCATATAAAACAACTGTCTATTCAGAAGACTTGGATAAAACCGCTGGATTCATATGGATTACTTTTATGATGTCTTAATGACATTTTGAAGCTTGACAATTTTGGTGTAATGTACATTCAATAAAGGGAAAGAAATCTCTCAGGTTTAATTAAAAAGATCTTTGTGTTTCGAGAATAAACAAAAGTATCATGGGTTTGGAATGACATGATGACACTGAGTAAATTATGACCGAATTTATATTTTTGGGTAAACCAGCCCTTTAAGTCAGTATTTAATAAAACGTCCTCTCTGCTGCAGCTCTCAAATTTCATTCAAACTTGTCCACATTCCATCATGACATGTTGCGCCTGTTTCAACACTAAAAAAGAGAAGTCATGACTCATGAAACACTAAAGAACCAATGATGTTTGATGATTTACAATTCCACTTTGTTTGTCATACAAAGCTATCGTATGGTTTTAGAAGTCTTTAGAAGGAATATACCACACAATTTGTACAGACTACTTTTATAATATGGTGTTTTTTTAATATATATTTGACAGTATAAATCATCATCCACTTTCCATTAGCTTGCATTTCTACCGCATTAACTAGCATTTCTCGTTTTTCAAATTTAAAAGGTTTAGAACAGCGTGAGGGTGAGTAAATAGCAGAATTTTCATCAATTATCTTTAAATAAATATCCTTGTTCTGTTATCTGGGATAAGAGCAATTATCTTCAGCAGCTGTGATTAGTCAGCTGCTTGCACAGACCAATGGATAAATGAATGAGAGGTAGACAGCTCTTTCACAGAAGCTGGCTAGCTCAGAATAGAAGACACCTGGCCGTGATATCTGCCAATTAGATACTGGATTTGAAAAAACGTGTGTAGGTTGCGCACTTTTATGGAATGGATAATATCAAGTTCCACATTCTGATGGGATAAGCCATATTTGAATCTGTGGTAAAACAGCTGATAAATGTTCACCTGCACACACAGGTCAGCTGAATTTTATATGAATGTACTGATCTGCAACAAAAGGATGAACTGTATGTTGCTTGGCAACCTTAATCAGCCTGCAGATCAGCTAATGAATTACATTAGGGATTCACAACAAGGGGTATGTGTTCCCTCAGGTGGTCCTTAAGCAAATACCAGGGGGTAAAGATTAGCATTTTAAATTGCTTGAAAAACCCTGAAATTGCAATTGATAATAAAATATCAGGGCTGTCAAAAATCACAATAGTTAATCAGATGTTTGCTACCAGAAAAGTAATAAGATTAAATGAAGTATAATATGAGATATAAGAATAAATTTTTGGTTTGGTGTTGTTGGAGTACTTCTGTCATACTGACGGGGTTTTCAGGGGTACATATTAAGACAATAAATGTTGGGACACACTACATTATATTACTGTGGTTATTATTAATAATACATTTATAGAACAGTGTTTACATCATATTGCTGGTGCTGCCATTTTAAACACTTAATAAGCCACTCCACCACCAACAATCTCTTTAATGCACAGCCTCTTGAGATTTATTACTTTAATTGTTCTTAATCAGGTCCAGAATCCACACTGGGAAAGTGAAAAAAAAAATCTGCAGAATCCATCTGGGCCTCTTTTATTAAATGAAGATCAGGAGGTTTCTCTACTTGGCATATCTCAAAGCGCTGAGAGATACTGAAAGCACCCTGGTGTATTCTTCTGCTGTCTTCACATGATAAAGATCTCTGCTTTAGTCTATCAACATAAGACACGTCTTTATGGTGTGCTTCATAATCCTCTTAACATATTACGCATTACCCTCAGGCTGCTTTCATCCAGGTCCTCTCACACACTGACCTGTCACACTTATCTCACGCACCATTAACCTTCACTCCAGATAAAAGCAGCTCATAATTTAAACCATTACGTCTCACGAACGGTGCTCGTGAGCGGGGTCAGCTGTGATTGATGGAGGCGGGGTACTTGCCTTAATATTGACGCAGAAGGGGTGGTAGCACTGGCCGCATTGGGAGCAGGCCAACAGTCTGCCCTCAGCACCCTGACCGAAGCTCCCACACACCACACACATGTCCTGGAGACACAAGAGAGATCAGAGACCAACCCGCTAAGTTAACTCTCATGCTCACTCTTAAAAAAAGATTATCTAAGGCTCATAATTTTTAAGAGCAGGATCATGTGCCCTAAAAAAGGAAAAAGGTCTAAGACGGGAGATGGTTTTACTATGATAGCTAAATTTCAAATGTTGCCTTCATGCATGTTGATGACATAACTTTGGTATTTTGTATTTTGGTAACACTTTACTTGAAGGGGTGTACATAAGACTGACATGACACCTTCATAACCATGACATGACATATGTCATGAATATGAAGTAGGGTTTATGCATGTTTATGACAACTGTCATTAAGTGTCTTTCGCTCAATAATGACATTTTGAATGCAAATATGACATTGTTTAAGATGTCTTCGTTATGACACCTTGACATAAACCATAACATCATAACCTGTCAGTGTCTTTGTCATGACAACTTGACATTAAATTAAGTTAAACTGTCATGTGGTTGGTTTTGACATTGGCTGTCATAAGGCCATTATAACTGTGTCATGAATATTTTTCGTGACCTCAACTACAGTGGTACAAATTGAATTTGTCATTAAACAGTTATAATGGCTTCATGACAGCCAATGTCAAAACCAGCCACCTGACAGTTTAATGTAATGTTAACCAATAAAGCTAAGTGGTTTCTTAAGTTTGATAATTAATCTGCTATGTCATGTTTATGACAGGTTGTGTTGTCTTAGTAATGTCAAGTTGTCATGACAAAGACACTGACAGGTTATGATTTATTGGTTTATGTCAAGGTGTCATAACAAAGACATCTCAAACAATGTCATATTTGCATTAAAAATGTCATAATTGAGCGAATGACACTTAATGACAGTTGTCACAAACATGCATAAAACTTCCTTCATATTCATAACATGTGTCATGTCATGATAATGAAGGTGTCATGTTAGTCTTATGCACACCCCTTCAAGTAAAGTGTTACCAAATACAACATGAAACCAGAGTGAGTACCACCTTGACTACATTTACATGCACAACTCAACTGAACGCTAAACATGTCATCAGGTTGATGTGCGCGTTTATAGGTCACAAGCTTCAAATCGGAATAGATTTTTTTGACGCGTTTTAAACAGCAGACTTAATATTTATCCATTTCTGGTCATAATTTGGAGACAATGAGCATATGACCCGTTGTGCCGTGCTGCTCATATTTATCACACAGTAAAAATGCCCCCCCCCCGCGCCCAAAACCAGACATCTGTGAATGAGAATACGAAACAAGGACTGGTGGGACTGTCCTGCTCCACTTCACAGACGCTGAGTGAAAGGAGAATTTTAGAATAACGGGACACTCATATATTTGCCACTTTATTCAACAGGAAGAACAGCTCGTTCCGATCATTCAACGCCATTACACATGCGCAGTTCTTTCAATTTCGGTTTATTAATCAGATCAAGTTTACATGTTCTCTCGATCGGATTAGAAGAGGAATAAACAACCCCTTTCAATCGGATCAAAATGTCATTCGAATCGAGCTCAATCGGATCAATTAAGGTGTTTACATGAAGGCTTTTCAGTCCGATTGAGCCGTCAATCCGATTACTAACGGATTATTTGGTTGCATGTAAACGTAGCCCTTTACTGCAAAAACGCTTCCTCAAATACTTACTTGTTTAAGTGTGAAGGAGTCAGAGGTGGAGAACATGACCACAGTGTTGTGCATGGAGTTCTCCTCCTCTTCTTTTACAACATATGGAGAATCCATAAAGCTCACCTGTAACAGGGCACATGACACCAGTTTAGACCCATCCACCGGTTTCTAAAATATTACTATACTGTGTCTAATACTATCATGGTTGTTTCTGGAAATGTTTTCACTGTAATCATGCAACTGAAAAGGTCAAATGTGGTCGATCTCACCATTTTTTATAGATAACCAAATACCATATGGTATACTTTCACATTAAAATCAGCAATGGACAGCCCTAGTTTTTGGCAACTGTCAAAAAATAGCATTTTAGAGAGCTTTGGGGCTAGAAATCGTCAACCCAATCTGGCAACACTGCCACAGGAATGGACCGTTAATATTTAAAGGCTTGTCATGGTAAAAAGTTACGTGACAATTTAGTGTGCTACTGGATTATAATGAGACTGGTTGACAAAGTTAAGACAAGATGTTCATTATGTGTGTAAACTACAGAACGGCTGCTGAGAATAAAATTGCCTATTTTATCATATTGGCAGCCAAGTACATGCTGGCTCAATCTCCCCCATCACAAGTCGTTCGTGTTGGGGAAAATGTCAGCATTTGCTATTTTGAAAAGGCCATTTGGGCTGGGAACTGCTGCTGAAGCTCTGCTGAGCGTGAGTGCATTTCTCAGGCTTTAATGTGAACATTAAGCACATCTGAGTGCTGTTTTATTTATGCTTGTAGAGGTGGGGGCTTCATACCCCAGGGGTCACCATGGGGCTGCTCTCCATCTTTAGCCTGGAGCGTCCCCTGCCACCTCTCCCAGACAGGTTAGTTCCCCTGGGTCGCCGCCTTCCAGGAAAGCCAGATCCACGACCCTAGAAGACAGAGACAGGGAGAGAAGATATTCATTTCTTTGAAGGCACAAAATTGTGTGTGAATATATAATACAAAAGGGCAAATACTCATTGCTAACAGGGCTAGATGATATATCAAATATTGTTTTGCTGGTGATATAAAATAAACCAACATGAGAATATCATGATGAATTTAATGTGCTTTATTAAGCCACCAAGTTCCCTAAAGACAGCGACAGTATGCCAATTGTCTCTGGTCATTGAATTATAATAGTATCTCTGATTTAAACCGTAGAAGAAAAAATTATAATTGAGTTGGGAAGTTTGATCCATTTTCACAAATTAGTTATTTGAAATGTACCGGTATGTTGCAAACACGGATTTCAGTTTTGTATCATCACTATTCTCTGAAGAAAATTAATAATAATAAATTATCTCCCTGACATGCATTCATGTAAAATATTTAGTTATGATGGCTTGACAAATCTACTATTTGAGATGCTGCTTCTTCCATCTTTGCTTTCAAGATATGACCATTAAACTCGGCACAGACCTTCAGGATGGTATGGTATGCTACACAGTATCTTTCTTTTCTTACTGGTCAAACTTCAGGTTTTTGTAAAACGGATGTTCAAAACTATAAAAAAAAAAAAAAAAAAAAAAGACTTTTATTGATGAGGTCCTAACTTTTATTGAATAACTCAAGAGTATTTATGGTGTGTTCCATTTGTCCTTGGAAGTGAAAAATACTTCATTCCCAGTAGGAACTGGAACGCCCACTCGAGTTGGAGCGGCTGGTAAACTCAGGGGAACCGCAACAACCCCGACTTCAGAATCCAATATGGCTGCTCAGAGCATCAATGTAGTGAAACAGTAGTAATATATTGTTTATTAGAACTTCTGTTTGTCTGTGTCTCAAACCCAGTGGTGCACTTTTATTTTGCGTATGCCTTGAGTGGGAATCATTTAAATAAGGAATATTGTGACTTGTTCGTTCCCGGAAGAAAACTCAAGACTACAACCGAGGTGTTTAAGGGGTTTTAGAAACAGTGGACTTTGTGCTTTATAACTTTGCAGACCTTTTTCATGATCAAACTGCAACATTACACATGAATGAAAGAATGTTGAAAATGTAAAGAAAAAAAGAAGAAAAAAAACATAATAGGTCCTCTTTAACAGAATCCCAGAATTTAAAAATAACACTTACTCTTGAACATTAAGCAATTTTGTACCAGTGTTTTATAACATTCTGCAAGAAGAAGAAGAAAAAAAAAAATCACCCTTTTCATTGCACTGAATTGCATTTCATAGAAATGCACACAAATTATCCTCTAACAGAACATGGTACTTTTGCTAGACTGATTTGGTTAAACAATGCTTTTGCTGTTTAGATGAAATAATTATCCACCTATAACCTAGCTTGACATGGTGGAAAACTTTCAAGAAGGCACCAAACTAGTTGCATCTGTGTTTGTGATACAAACTCATCCATCCATCCCAAGACCTGGCCCTCTGGGGTTCAGCTCAACTCCCTGAACACTGCACTGACTTACAGATCACATTTCAGGCCAGGCTTCCGCCAACTTGCCCTGCTTCTGAAGGTGTCACGTTGCGTTTGCATCGAGGCTGAAGCTCTGGCCCAATTCCCACTTCCTCCCAGGTAATTACCTCACTGTAGCCAAGAAGCACTACTCAGACAGGAGACGTCAACTTCATTTAGAGAGATTGCCTAAGGAAGCTTGGCGCACTCCATCGCCTTTACAGTCTGAGTCTAATTTGTGCAGAAATGAATTATGGAGTGGGAAAAAATAGACTAGGGTTAAGGAAGGCACTACTTTAAATCTGCCTGAGTGCAGCCACACAGTAGAACAGCAATTCTGATGAGATACTGCTGCAATAGGAAGGGTGCAACTCTGGTGTTTCATGCACATGCATTGGTAAAGATATGCAGAGTTTGTCATATGAACATGCTATCATAAAACTTTTATTATATTAATCTACAATGTGATCTTGGAAAAGTTAAATGGAGAACAACATAACGCAGCAAATCACATTGCATTTAACTTTTGTAATGTGAGTGAAAAATCATATTCAGTGAGAAATGACGAGGCTCGGAATTGTCTATCAGGACTTGACTGAATCATGAGGGGATGAAACACTATGATATTACTGTTATCCTGGTCACACAGCCTTGCTTATGTCAGCATATGATTTTGACATTAAGAGTAACAGGCGGCAGGAGCTGATGAATTGTGACCAGGGACATTTATGGTCAATAGGGTTATTTTTGATTCCATGTTGTGTTTAAAAAGCATGAGTAGAGATTGTACATTATGACAACCCTGTTTCAATGTATCCCTTACAAATAGCAGCCACTTGGTCCATGTGCATAATTTTCTGTTCACATATAATATGTATCTCAATGTGTCTCATTGGTTTTTAAGACAGCATGTCATGTTAAAAATAGGTACATTTTTGTTTTTGAAAGCAAGAATGTGTCCTGTATTAAAGCCCTGTTCAATGTTTTGTATTGTTGGTTGTAGTGGACTTCTACTGCTGGATGAGTACTAAATTAACATAATATCATGAACACGATGCATAATCTACTATCAATGACTGAATATTGCACTTATAACAAACTCATGTAACAGACTCACATTGTTAAGCAATAAAATCTCATAGCCATCTTAGGTCTGATAACCTCTGCACCATATTTGATCTTACCTTCTAAACTAAACCACCAGCCCACACCCTCCTTAAAAGCTCAGTCCCCTGCAGGGGGCAAACCCTTCAACACCCTCCCCTCATTTACCAATCTCATGGTCCAGATGGGCAGCCCGTGCATCGGCCTGGTCTTTGGGCTGTCCCAGGCGTCCAAGCGCTCTGGAGACCAGGAAGGCGAGCTCATTGCGCTACGGTTACTCCATGCACCCTGAGGTAAAGCGGCGGAGAAGAAATGGTTGGGGGGGGGGGGGTATATTGATGATGAGGGGAAGATGAGGGATGACAAAATGCAGCAACATAAATGTGAAAGCCAGCAACAAGAACACAGCATGTCAAATGAATGCAATGCTTTTACACAAATGCATCATACCAAGCTAATAAAGTGAGTTATTAAGTTTGGGACAAATTCCTGAAACATGACAGTGATGTTATGCAAAACGCTTCTGTCCTAAGAGAAGCAAATGTGTGTATTTGCTTTGAGCGAGTTTTACTTTGTAGGGGAAGTCCTTATTATTACTACACCTTATTAAGTGTCAGCCTCCATGGAAACAACATTGTTTATTTGTTTGTACAAAACAAGCGTGATCATATCAGCATGACAACAAGCAGCTCTTTGAGAATTTTGTAAAGCGCAAAGTGTCATGGGGAGCATTTAGCCTGTTTAACGAGCTAATGAGGGTTAGTCTTTGTAATTACAATGCATTACACAAACACAGCAAGGCTTGTTTTGTTTTACAAAATTAAAATGATTTCAGAATTATAAATAATAAATAACAGCCGTTGGTTGGTTACTCTTTTTTCCTTTTTTGCTGTCATGTATCGTTTTGTCCCAAACTTTAAAGAAATGTCTGAGCTTCAATACAACTTAATGTCTCAGGACAACTTTTTTCAAATAAACTGGCCACAAGGGGCACCGTTTATCATTTCCATTGACATTTTGTCTTTATTTAACATTATTTTCTGTGGTAAACAACAAATGCTTGATGTGGATTGGACGTAACTTGTATTGAACCCAGAACATTGCTTCCTAATAAAACAAAAGTACTTAATGACACAAATTACCATTCCTTAAACACAGAACCCAAGAATTGTTATCATGGAATAAAAAAAAGAAAAGAAAAGCTCTCAGAGTGAGTGAAGGGGACAACTGAGAAACAAACAAATATCATCATGCCAACATGCCAGTGAATAAAACATCAAAATAAAATAAATAAATGAATACAACAATACTATAATTTGATAAATTGACAGTGATTAAAAAAAATGTTGTTGATATTGCTGATGCCTTTAATTGCTAATCGATGACCATGCTCTGTCATTTTGGTGAGAGTATGTTGATAAAGTAGGCTATGTCTTTGTATGCATTTCATTCCTGCCCTTAGGCTTTTCAAAAGGGACAAATGTAAAATAAATGGAGAGGTGAAAACTTTAAACTCATTGAGTAGGCACCCAATAGACACTTTAACAAGGTATATATACGTGGCAATATGAAAACTATCAACCAGCAGATACATTTTTCCGAATGATAAACTCAAGCTAATCCCAATATGACTCTGAAACTTCTACAAAATTCAGATCGCAAAGCACGCCTGATCGTCGCTGAAGAGAGTCAGCGGGAGTTACTTCAAGAAAGCGATGAAACGCTAGAAGCTCATTTGCACAACAAAACGAAATCCCTCTCTTACGCACACACATGATAACACAGGGGTGTGCATATACTCATGAACGCACTTATACACACCAAACCGGAAATCTCACTTGGAGCCAATGACAGCTGCCCACCCTTCAAATTACACTGTGCCCAGATGGCACATACTCCAGAGGGAAAAGCGACCAGAGCCATATAAACTAACATGAATAATACAGACACATATACTCTAGACATTCAATTTCACATCATATAGTTCCAAAAATACAGTGTCCAAATGCAATCACTAAGTGCTAAGCCGGCGGTTACATTTTGTTAAACTGTCAACATGTTTAGAAAGTTTTTGCCAATCAGAAAACTAGATAATTAGAAATGCTCTGCCTGTGAATCATTGTGTTGGGTTTGCTGACATCAAGTTTAAGGACATGTTTTGGAGGGCTGAGTTTTGGAGACAGGATGTGTAACGCCCGTTTCACACATAATCCGTGTGCAGTGCGTATGCGGTATGTGTTGCAGTGCGTATACGGTACAGGAGCAGCACGCGCTATAGTGCTTTCACATATGCTGCGTTTGCAATGCGCAACTGATCCGCGGCTGTACCACAAACACATTTGTATTTCAAATCCAGAAGTTATCAGCAACTTTTATTTAAAAAAAAAGTTTTGGTCACCAGTGCGATTCTCTTTGTACAAATACACTCTTTAATAGACGTTTAAACACAATTTAAACAACGTATTAGGCATTACTTCTATATAAAAAATATATTAGGCTAAGTTGCTCAAGCAAGTGGAAACATTTAACATGTACTTATATTAAAATCATAAACATTTTAAATTAAAACTTAAAATTGACAAAAACAGCAGACTCATACCTTTTCTTTTGCATAATTTAAATCTTTATACAATAAATCTTGCATGTCACAAAGAACTTGTTTTTCCACCTCCACGAATGAGACGAGTGTTGTTCATTATGTCGCCTTGTTGAAGTAAATTGTAGTTGCTTTACCCCGGTCTTAAAGTAAAAAGATGACTGTGAAAAATAGTAGTATTTAATTAAAAGCATTTACGGTGAGATTACTACATTTTATTTAATTAAAAGCATTTATGATTAAATTACTACATTTTCATGTCAATTTGTGTTCATTTTGACCACGAACTATCCGCTGTCACTTTAATTCAGCGCGTGCAGCACAGCAAAAATAGACTCGGTGCGTAAACGATCGCTGCACCGCATCTGGAACGGATCGCCGGACCGCACCCGCGTTCAGTGTGAAAGCTCTACCTGTTAACATGGGTATGGAAAAAAATACGCACCGCAAACGGAGAATGTGTGAAACGGGCTAAGAGAGGTTAGCAAAATGACGGAAGTTAGCAAAACAGCTGAAATTACTTACAGCACCTTTTAAAGGGATAGTTCACCCAAAAGTGAAAATTTGGTCATCATTTACTCACCCTTATGTCATTCCAAACCCATAAGACTTTCATTCATCTTCAAAACAAAATGAAAGGGCAAAAAAGACGGCCAGAACTGTTTTTTTCTGCGTGACAACCATGTTTGAGTTTCCGCAAGAACCACTGAGGTTTGTTCTCGTGCATCAAGCAAGGTAGAGCTTTCTCATCATATTTAAGCTCTCTGTATATGTACTGATCAATGTTGTTTATATATAAATACATAAGCATAAATTAAACCTGTTTATCAAGAGATTGAATCTCTTCCGAAAACTTGGATTAAACCACTTGATTCTTATGGATATTAAAAATATCTTCATGAGCATTTCAAGAACATGAGTGAAAGTCTGTGGGTTTGGAACCACAATTATAATTTTTGGGTGAACTTTAAGCATGTACAATGGCTTGGCATTGCCAAGCATTCATACCTGCATTAACACACTTGCATAGACGGGGCCTGAGCCTTGCTGGGAGCTGTGGTATGCCCTGCCAATCAGATCAAAGATGCTGAAAGCATTCCCAAAATGAGATGCTAAGGTGACCACCAGAGGAACGGGAAATAGCTCACTCTAATCTTTGTTTCGAAGAATGCGTGAATTAATTGTAGTTTGAAGTTTACTCTCTTCGACACAAAGACACCGCAATACCATGTTTAATTTAGATTTATGACAACTTAGGAGGAGTTCTCAGCATCCTCCCTGCTCCAGAGCTCAAAGGGGAAATGGGTTTGTGCTGTGCTTTCCAGCTCAGTGAGCATTTATCCGAATTACACACCTCCAAAAAAACTCCTTTATGTTTCACTAGCATAAACCCTGGCTCTGGAGCCAACTCCCAGCCCCCTCTCTCCTGGGATAATGTGAGTGATGTATTTGAGAAGGGCAGTGGGGGGATTGAAGGGACTGGAAGGCATGAGAGAGAGCTAGAAAAAAAAATGAGTGAGCGAGGCAGAGACTGAGCCAAAGAGAGCATAGTAAGAGCCTTTACATGTTAATTAATACACGCAACGCTCTGGCACTAATCAATGTGACGACGGAACATGGAGAGCAAAGGAATAATTACTGTGTAGCTAAAAATGTGGATCACAGACAGAATCACTGTCCTAAAGAGACCAAGGCAAACCAGGAGCCTTCACCAAACAGCAAGAAAGACGGGCCAAAAACCAGGAGTTTTTACCTGCTTTACCCTTGGCCTTCCAGGAGAGAACTTCCTCTTGGAGATGGCTGGCTTTCCCATACCTATCTTGGGCGTAAGAGGGAAGAAGGTGGTGTTGAAAACACTGGGGCTGTATGCAGCTGGATTCAGGCTGTGGGTTGGCGTCTGGCTTTGAGATATCTCCCTGGGCGAGGCTTCAGTGGAAAACGGGGACTGGGTCAACTTGGTCGAGCCCTCGGACGACATTCCCGGGGAATGCTTTAAAATGAGGCTCTTATCCTCAATGGGAGAACTAAAACTGGAGAAACTGTGCTCGCTGACAGGTGTAGTGTCCATTTCCACAGTAGGACTGCACTCTGAAACCAGTGGGACACTATCAGGCTCAGGTAAAATACAAGTGAGCTCGGGATCTATCACCTCCTTCTCTTCATGTTCTGGTTGGTCCTGTTTCTGTCCCTGCTCAATTTCCTCCACAACACTCTGGGCTTCTGGGACATTTGTCATCCTTTTATCCTTCATATTGGAGGTGTCTGAGGGACAGACTAACATAGGCTCTTCCTCTTGGGCTCGAGAAAGTTTGGGTGATGTTTCTTTGGTTGGCAAAGCAGGAAGAGCTTTTGAAACATCTGCTTCAGGTTCATCCTCTGTAGCTTCAGGCAGTTTATCCTCCGTTTCCTTCCCCATTTCCAAAGCACCAATGAGACTCTGTTCCTGGTTTTGGTCTTCAGAAGTGGTAGAGGCCTGAAAGGAGAGGGAGGGTACGCCCACTAAAGTAGAGGAGCATGGAGGAGGTTCGGGACCCTCTGTCAAAGTGACTGTAACCTGGATCTCCTGGGGAGGTTCAGCAGCTGCAAAAAAACCCACAAAACTAAGAACTCTGTGGCTAGAAAACACAATAATACAGAACACTATGCATGTTAATGGACAAGACTTACTGACTGAGAAAAAAAAAAACAGAAAAAAGTCAGCACACCAAAGCTCCAAAAAAATTAAAAAAAAAATTTTTTTTTAGTGGACTCACGCACGGGTTGCGTTTTGAGCACGCAGGCTCTTCGTCAGACAGTTAAAAGTTTTTACCAAACAAGCCTTTATACTCACAGTGGACAGTGACCCTACTCTCAAAAAATATAGTATATGAGACCACCTAGTTTTCACAATATCTTGGTCTGAGCAGATTTAACCCCTCCCTCACATTTTAGGTGCATTTTGCCAATTATAGATGCAGCAACTGTCAACAATGTAATTTTACTTCTAAAACCTTCAAACATCATCATACTGCTAATTTAAAAAAAATAAGAGGCACTCTTTCGTGCAAATCTGCCAATGTGATTTACATGTTACGTTTCCCCTGCAGTCTTTGCGGTGTGGGTAAAACTAGCAGATCTTTAAAACCCCACATTTCTAAACATCATTGAGCTATCAGAAACCAAGATTCTAAAAGACTGTGTGTGAGTGTCCAATATTAAATTTTTTGCATATTTTGGAGCTTTGGTGAGCAGAATGTTTTCTGTTTTTTTTTTATTATTTCTTTTGTCGACCCAACCCTGAGCATGATGTGCGTGCTTTGGTCTCGTTTATGTGGAGAAAGAAAAACTTACATGACAGAAACTCTTCTGGCAGAGTAGGAAGAGGACTAGTACTGAGCTCTGTCTCCAACGCCACTTCCTCCTCAGCCTCATTAACTTCTTCAACAGCCATGAAGACATCTAGATAGGAAAGGGAAGTGTTAAGTTGCACAAGGAAACAACTGTGGGATAACATTTCTGATCTATTCTGAACAGGCACACAAGGGCCAATGAAATGACATCAATTTTTTGTTCAATTTAATTTATTGGAAAATACAAGCCTTTTTTGTCTTTGGCTTTTGGCTTGCTTAGTTGGGGACACTTAATATTCAACAATATTATTGACCTGCCTGCATTGACACCATTGTATGACAACTGAACTGAGCTGGACGATGACATCACTGTTTTCTCCAGAGCAGCTGTACAGATAAATTAACTAAATTAATAACTTTATTCACAACAGAAATTAACCATCACTGAACTTACTTAAGCTGGACACTATTTTGCTGCGCTAAAAAGCGCTACATAAATAAAGGTGACTTGATTTGACTACAAATGCAATTCATACAAGCCGTAACTTGAATTAATATACCATGTATTCAAGGTGTAAGGGAAACATCATGACTCTTTACTTAGTGGTTACAACAATGACATTTTTTAAACCATCAGGTTAAACTTTTGTTGAAAATTGTCTTTATCTTGGACATTCTTGTCATAAACTCCCAATTGTTTTCCAGAATTAAAATAAATTGGTTTGGTCATCAGATCTTTGCCCAAACTACATCATAACATGCAGAAAAGAATCTAAAAAACAGAGGACTGCATAAACAACAGTTGATAAACAGTTTGAAATAATAAAACCGCAGGTAGCCTAGAATCTTATTGCCACACAACTATGGTCAGTGCAGTGGAATTTGTACGGAGACTTTTACATGAGTTAAACCACATAATGGCTCCACAAACTTATTACAGGTTCAATCTCCCGGCCTGTAGCAACTTGAGGTTTAGTGCATATCTCGACAAAGGACACAACAATGATTGCTTATGTCCTGCTCCTTAAAAAGATCAAACCAGCAACCATTTAGAAACCATTCACAACCTGTGCTATCTTCAAAACCTGTACCATAACAAAATCTGGCATCTTTGAACATGAATATTACAACTATATTTAAAGTGACCACTCACACCATCAATCAGATGAGATGCTTTGACAGAACAACCATTTTTCAAACCTAAATCGCAACTAAATGCATAATTCATTCAAATACATCTTATTTTCTACTATTATATAATCAAAATTGTATACATCTATCTTATATATCAATTAAACGACACTCTCTTTGCCCCCTCCTCCACCATACTGTTGCGTTTCCTTCACTCTGAACAACAAACAGGAATACTCAAGCTGCCACTGTGGCCCATTGTGCCAGGCATCACCATGACAACACATTCACGAGCCCTGCTTTTGTTAGACACTGCTGAGATGGTCTCATACAGGGCACACAAAAATTAATAAACAAACAAGCAATGCTCTCCGCTCATATGCAAGACAGTATTAGAACAGTGTTCTAATGCGAAGCCTTACAAATGCAGGATTCCAAACTTCTAAGGACACATTTGTGCAACACCAAACTAAATAGATGGGCTGTAGACTGAATGAATGAGAACCCACTAAGAAAAAAAAATACGAATAGGTGTTTGTGTGTAAATTAGGGGTGTCATACGTAAATGTGTAGTTTAGTTTTGACAAATGGTTTGGGGAGGAGCTTAAAGTGAATACAGTATTTTATTAAATTGTACATTAAACTACTTTTTTTCCGAAGATCAAGAAAAATTCTATTTTGCATGACCCCCTTTAATAATTTTGCAATGTAAAATCTGTATCACACCAGTAAAACATCTTGAATCTGAATGTAACCTGGGGTGTAAGATAACCATCAGAGACTCTGAGTAGAACTGCCATCATTCAGAGTGCTAAAGAGAAGTGAGGTTGACTGTGATGACCTGATAACGTCTTCATACTTACAATTGACTAGCAGCACAGGGAAGATGAAAGCCTCACTGGTTTAGAGCTGCTAGCTATTTTTAACCAGACAAGTCATAGTGTAGACTAGAGAATATCTCACCCTCCCCCAGACAAAGAACACTACAACAAACCTACAAAGAACACTGTAATATGCTTACCTACACACACCTACATACATATTTAAAAAAATGAAGCTTGTCAGATATGTTGAGCTTGATAATTAAATTCGGACTCAAAATGACTTTACTTTGCAAGTTCCGTGTGGTCTTTTTTCATAATTTACTGACAAACTAGTCCACTAAGGAACTATAGTATGTGTATTGAACATGGACACTTATGTTACACATCATCTGTAGAAAATGTGCAAGGTAGTTTGGCATGCAAAACTTAAATGAAACCGTTATAGTGTTGAATTACATAAATCTATTAAGTGAGTTAATAAATCTTAATGACATTAGACAAATTAATATCAATTTAATGCAAAAAAAAAATGCAAAAAGATTTCTACTACACGATTACTGCGGCCAAAATAATTCACAATAACTATATTAAGTGCAATATCCAATGAAATTGAATGAATAAAATAAATAATGCTAAAGTTAAAGCTGCAGTCCGTAGCTTTTTTTGGGTTAAAAATGATCCAAAATACATATTTGAGAAAATACATAACCAGCCAGTGTTCAAAACTCTCTGCTTGCCTTAGCTCGATTCAAATTTTCCGTGATATAATAAGCGATTTTTTAGATTTAATCAGCGCGATTTACTGCAATGTCAGAACCAGAACAAAAGTGGATGTTTGTTTCTTGTTCAGATGACATTTTCCGGTGAAAATTCTTATGTTGGTCATACTTCCAAAAAGAATAATCTGTGATTCTGAATGCCAGTATCCACACCGGCGCGGTGACTGACAGCCTCACACTCTCCTCAAACATTGTGTTCATCCGCGCTGTGCCGTGTCGAGGGTGTTGAAGTACAACTCACGTAAAGTTGATAATTCCGCGAATGACTGCAATTGCAGATTTTGAACAGAGATGGCGACAAAGATGAAAAACTGCGGACTGCAGCTTTAAATTCAACTTTAACTTTATTTTGCGTTTTCTCTTTTTTGGCAACATAATCAAAATTCAAATACGTGTGTGGGGAGGGAGGGGGGAGAACAAGGTTTTTAACCATAACTATACAAATAATAACATTAAGAACTTGCAGCACTTCAAGTAGACTGGGGTGACTAACACCCCGTCTTTTTTACGGAATCCAAAAAAAATCATATTAGTAGATGTTGTGGTCATCTTTTTTGCATTTTATGATGGATGGCGACCAGCGTAAAGGTGCAATACAATTACTGGCGCGTTATTAAAACTCCGATATTATCAGTATACATTAACCTGATAATCGACATTTCATTTTTCAATATCACGTCAATAATATATTGTGTCACCCCAAAATACAACACATAAAAGCAATAATGTATCAGAGGAAGTTCTATATTGTGCAGCGTGCCACTAAGGAGAGAGAGAGGTTCAAAATTAGCCAAGCTTCCCATGAGGGGCAGCATGTAAACATGCCTCGGGATACCTCAGTGACCATGTAGAGTTCAAACAGGAGTGAAGGCCGCTGAGGTCATGAGGCAGTGATGCACAATGACTGCAGTCCGGCTGGACAGACAAGGGAGAAGAGGAGCTTATAACAGGATACTGACACAATCCCGCTCCAGAGAGCAGAGAAGTCCTGCTGGCTGATTCAGAACACTGGCGCTGGGTTTCAAACACCTATTATTCCTGATCGGGTGCGCCTCAGGGTCCGCAAACTCCCATAAGCCCTCACACTGACTTCACTCGTCAATACTCACCTGATAGTGTCACCCGGCAGCATTGCACACCGCCTGAGAGCAAAGCAGATGAACTTAAAAGGATTTATTATTCCCAGTGTGTATGTGACATCAGACGGTCACGGGCTATGGCCTCCAGCCTTACAGATTAACACTTCATACAGTAGCTTCCTGAAAGAAGCTGATCTCAAAGCAGCTATGCAGCAGCTACAGCACCATTAGTCATCTGTGCATGAGCACAGGTGATTGTGTTGTTTGTGAACTGGGTCATGTGAGTAAGCGTGACTATGGTTCTTTTCAGCAGTGTCAGGATGAATCACTGATGGCATCACGCGTCCATGGCAACAAAAACCTTCAGATGGGTGGTGGAGTCGTTTTACCTCACCCTTGGGGAAAATACCCCCTCAAACATGTGACTAACACATAATGAGGTTTTGTAATTACCTGCCAATGAATGTACTAAGGATACTCAAAATGTACTCAAAAATACTGGTACTTCAACGCCAAAACAAGACGAGGGCTTAAAAGCCTATTTTTACTAGTCGACCAGTCATCCAGAAAAGTACCCAAATAGTTGATGAGTCAATGTTTACCTTACGTAAATGGCTCACGATACAGCGTGAAGCATTGCTGACCTTAGTGCCTGACTTGCCAGAAACTGCAAGTCCAGAGACTCTCTGTGAAGAGAAATAACTGAAAGTATTCATATTTCCATTGCCACATGCTTGTTACATTGTAATGAATGACCCAATGACCGCTTCAGGGCAACACTGGATTATTTTCAGGATGGTTCATAAAAAGTTTGGTTTGTATGTGAACACTCTGAATGAACTTCATCTCAGACACCCGCAAGCACACGCAGTGAAGTTTGTTAACAACTTTCTATGCGAATGATAAGCTGTTAGCATGCAAAACCAACTCCTTTTGGCAATATGTCACGTCAATGGGGAATACCTCAATTTCTTAAAGTTTCATGAAAGCCCCGTTTTAGCCGGGTCGTTCACAACTAGGAGTTGGAAAAAATTTCAAGAAATGGGCTTGTAAAGCTATGGAAAAGTGGGAGTGTAGATGGTGGGAAGAGGGGAGAAAACCAATAAAAACCCTAAAATACACGGCGCTGCTTCCCTAGAGTATATGAAATATGCCCAGAAACCTTTAAAACACGCTTGCTCCGGTCTATATATTAAAGCTGAAGTCGGCAAGTCTGGCAGATTGAGTGGACTTAGGCAAAATTTTGAATGTTTACAACTCTCATGGCCCTCCCCCACTATCAACGAATACCCTCCC